TTAATACCAAAATGTGATTCGTCAGGAGAAAACAGAATGGACTGACGGTACGCGGCTAGGTAATCAGGAACACCCTCTGTGGACAGATGAACAATTATAAGTTGCAGCGGGTGCAATGCTTGTTCCCGAACGAAGGACGCATACTCGGAATGACAATGGCGACAATCCACACTGCTAATAAACATTGCGGATGATAGGCTGAGCACATTCTCGTTCGTGCTCGCATTTTGACTTCGTTCGTGCACAAAACTGTCCTTAGTAGCAGATTGCATTATGTGTCTTAACGCATAAACGCTGATATTGATTGCAGTATATGTCAAATGTCCTTTCAAATTAAGGTGTAACATCCCCCTTATGAGACAGGCAAACACCACTGATATGGGTAACATAATCATTTTTGCATTGTAAAGTTCTTCAGGTATCTGCATGCATCTACCTTGCACTTTGTTGTTTCGTTTGGGCTGTTGGGTGAGTGCCCTCAGGTTTTAGAGAGGTTGTCGACTGCCGTGTAGCTAGAGCGGTGTCGTGACATAAAAACGAACTTAGGAATTTACTGTGTAGCCGTGCGCGAACACTGGTATTGGCTGAGGCCTGATGAAGAAGCGAGCCACAATACCCAGAAACAAGCAACCACAGTAAAGCAGCGGTCTGCAAGGTTTACCGCGAATAAATTGCCACGTGGATGGTTTTCCAGCGCTGCGCTGCCCCACCCGGCGCATGTGGTGCGTGCGTAAGCGAGCTCATCGTTTTGCGCAATCTGTCGAGTTCTGCAGAAACTGCTCGGGGACGACAGATCGAGCCAGCGCCCTCAACACTGTCCAGACACTGGCACGGTGCCGAATATCCGTGCTGAGAGTACGCACCGTTCCTCCATTGAGCTACCCCCTGCCATCCCCCCGCCGTGGCGGCCGTCTGCAGCTGCTGACGTCAGTGGGGCGGCTCGGCGCGCGCCGCCCGCCGTCCTCCTGTATCTGCGGCGCCACCGACCGCAGACGGGCAAAACACGGCCGTCAGAGGGTCACCGAGTGGCGCGTGGGCTGCCATTTGGTCCTCGCCAGCGGGCCGCGCGGCCTGACCGCGGGCACACATCCGCCGCCGCCTCTGCTCGGTGGGCACGGTATCGGCGGGTGGCCTCGCGCGGCGTCTGGAGGTCATGGGTCAGCGGATTTCGGCGCATTTAGATGCCCTGAGGCGGTGTAGGTCAGCGGGTCGCCGACGGCTGAGTGGACGTCGTGGCCCCCAACAATTACTATACACCCCAAGCCTCCGCAAGTCAGGGCAGCGACATTTTGCACTGGTTACCCAAAACGTTAACCGGCTAAAGTTAACCGGCTCGCACTGGTTAAATCGTAGACAAGCTGACCGGCTCATTACGTGCTCAGCCCAGACCGTTACAATGCACTGCATCTCCTGCACGCTGCTCATTCCAGGATGTCTGTGTTTCCTTGAGCTTTTTGTCTCTGGTCAGCGTGCTATACACGCACCAGGCGCTTCGATGCACAAGACCCAAGGACATCTGGGTTTAGCAGAACCAGCGCGACAAAGCTGCAATTTTGCGGCCATCTCCGCGCATTAGTGCGGAGTTGATCATAGGGACTAAGCGTGTAGTGCTACATGCCTGGCATAAGGTTTATGTTCTATTAAGCTACCCTAGATGTGAGCCGGCAGCCCTCTCGAACTTGGCATGCTGCACGGCTGCCTATTGCCACACATTGTGCCATTGAGTTGTGCACAGTCGGTTTTAACGCTGTGTGTGGTATCCTGCTGTTTTCGAACCCTTCAGTATTTTCTAAAGGATTTGATTGAGCCAGACGCTGCATTTGCCTAAGCCTTGGAGGCTGGCAGTTGGAACAGCACAATACACTACGTGGATGCTTGCGATGCCCAGACTGTGGTCTCTGTGCACCAGTGGTCATTCGTCTCAACTTATAACGTAAATATCGGGTGATATTTGAAACCCAGCCTAGAGCTTGGAAGCCACCCACCAGCTCGTACAAGTTGACAACGGCCGGCTCCAGAGCCAAGGCAGCCAAATCAAGCTTCCCTATGGCGAAAATGTAGAATTTGTTGATGGCCTCTTGGCCAAGGTCGTCCCGATCTGAAATTATGGTGCCAAGGTCCAGCCTGGCTCAGCGAGCAGGTCATCTGACCTAAAAAACTTCGCTGATGACTGAAGTTTTGAAGTCTAAGTCTTAACCTAGTATGAGTCTCAACTCTAAGCCTTCGCAAGTCTTGGCTTATGGGGAGGCATTGTGCGTAGACAAGGACATGTTTGTCGGTAAGCGCTGTCCCACATCCAGACGAGGCCGTGATCCGCCAATCGAAGCCTCTCAGCATCCTGGAGCCATAAGGCTTGCCATTCCGCAACTTGGTGTTCAGGCAAGGCGCACCTGCCAGCTCTTACGAAACCTGAATGCCCAAGCTCTGCCATGGCGACCATCATAAAAGACATGGCCGAGAGGGCGAACGTCTTAATCCCAAAAATCCCGCTCATCCCACCTGACATCCACTTCGAGATCAAACGGCTCCAGTTTGTTGCATCAAGCAGCGCTGTCATGACCATGAACAAGAGCTATGGTAATCATCATGAACAAGCCCTTGAAGGTAATCAGCCTCAACCTGACCGAGCCAGTACCCTCCCGGGGCAGCTTAACACGCGCCCGGGTTATCACGCGCCCGGGTTATCACGCGCCCGGGTTATCACGCGCCCGGGTTATCACGCGCCCGGGTTATACACGCGCCCGGGTTAACACGCGCCCGGGTTATCACGCGCCCCGGGTTAACACGCGCCCGGGGTATCACGCGCCCGGGTTAATCACGCGCCCGGGTTAACACGCGCCCGGGTTATCACGCGCCCGGGTTAACACGCGCCCGGGTTATCACGCGCCCGGGTTAACACGCGCCCGGGTTATCACGCGCCCGGGTTAACACGCGCCCGGGTTATCACGCGCCCGGGTTAACACGCGCCCGGGTTAACACGCGCCCGGGTTATCACGCGCCCGGGTTATCACGCGCCCGGGTTAACACGCGCCCGGGTTATCACGCGCCCGGGTTAACACGCGCCCGGGTCACCGGTAAATGCGACGAGCTGGGATGCTGGGACACTTTGACTTCCAGAGATCTCAATAACTGTGCAAGCTGGAGGCACCAAACCCACAGGATCGGTAGGGCTTTGCAAGAGCTTGTCTTGTGAGAGATTGCGTTTGTTATGTCGGGATATTTTGGCCTAAATAAGATCACGCAAGATCAGACTCCAAATAGTGTCTGAAGTGCCCTCAGACATCCTTACGCAACCATCTTTAACATACATGCTTTTTGCAAGCAAAAGTTTGCTGGTACTATCAGTTCAGTGACCGTTAGAAGGTAGAAATGACCAGCAATTACCACAGACTCTTTTCATATTAGGATGTACAATCCGCGCCAAGCACCACCCTACGCGGCATACCCCTTAAAGTAAAACGGTCATTTCAGGATAGTGACCTTCCCTATCCCAAGTCGAGATAAGTAGCATTTTGACGTTCTTATAATTCAGGACTCAAAATGTCCGCCTAAACTGCTCCATAAAGCATGCTTTCCAAGAAAACAGGCGGTTTGGTTTTGAGCTTGATTGAAAAGTTTTGTTCCATACCTATCCCAAGGCCGTGAACTTTATCACAATCGTAAGTTAAACTGTCTGCTTGCTAAAGAAAATATCTCAGACTTTAAATTTTGTTTGATATTTGCATCAGAGTTCACCATTTCCCAGGCATTGTCATCGCTAACAACCATGGCTTGACTTTGACCTGCCATAAGACAGTGACCTTACAAGTTTTGTATGATAAAGGTATAATGACGGGACCCGCGACAGTCGGGGACCTAGAGTGCCTAACAGGGGGCCCTGCGTGGGCAAGGAGTCCAGAGTCGAACAGGAGAACATTTGCTGGATCTGGACATGAACGGGACCCCAAATGGCAGAGGGCTTCTTGCGTTGGTCGGGGTCCTCTGACAATGCAAGGAGATTGCGAGTTTATGAGAGTTCATAATGAGACAATGAACGGGCACTGTGCCAGTCATCGCCACCAGTACTGGACGAGGTCCTCCACCCCAAATCTTCTACGGGTCCGTTAGGCCACATTGGAGTCTCTGTACAAATTACTGGACCTCCTGCGGTGATAACGGATCTTGTTTCGTCAATGAGGACTCAGTGAGGACTGCAGCCAGGTCAATGAGGACTGCGGCCAGCTGCCCCGGCCAAGGGACCTCTCGCTTCAGTGAGGTGGCCAATGTAAGATGCGTCTCCCCAAGAGGCTCCCGATCGACCAGGGAAGCCCATCCTCGTGTCGGCGAAATGACATCCGGTAGGTACCCCGTGCTGAGACGGAATGGCCCTCCAGCACACGGCCGACAACACTAGTGCCCCCTGGTGGTCTACCCACGCACCTTCTTGCCGGAAAAAGGTGAGCGGTCTCATTAGTGTGCAATAGAGTGGATCAAAATGAAGCTTGAGATGACAAAGACCGACACTTGTTTAACGGAAAATATTCGCATCGTTACGAAACTGAAAAGTGAAAAAAATATCTAAAGGCTCTTCAGTCTGCGCGCCCGCAAGCTTAGGAGTAAGACAAACGATGGTCGGGGTCGCATTTTGCGTCAGACCGACGGATGTATAGCGCATTTTCTGCTTCGTTCGCTTATATAACGCTTACGTAACACTCTTCTGAGATAACATATAAAGTCGGCCAATAGTCCATGAACTACTTTTTCCGATTTAAAGAACGCTATCGTTTCCTCTTTTGCGAGAAGCAGGCCGGGGCATTTCCGACTGGCGTGCCACTTTTTTGCGCCCCATCCGGCGCCCTTGACTGCCGTCCTGGTTTCCATCTGCGCCGAAGCCGCCGTAGCGCATCGCTGCCGCACGTGCTCGGACTCGCGCGTGCGTCGCAGTGACGTGGCGGCGCCGGGGGCCGCGTCGAGGCCGGCGGTGTCGGTCGGCGACGGGTCAGACTCAAGCGGGAGGTGCCCGGGGTCGGACGCGACCCGCCCGGTGTCCGCTCTCTCCGCCGCGATGAAGAGCAGCCGGCGCCTGCTGCTGGCCGCCGCCCTGCTGGCCCTCTGTGGCCGGGCACTGTCGCAGCAGTAAGTGGCGTGAGCCGCGGCGGCACACCGCCCCGGCACCGGGTCCCCGGGACCGGGCCACGGCAGTGTCGAGATTCCGGCGCCAAATGTCCTGACTTTACTCTGTCGGACCGTGATGGAAATACGCCGCCGCGGATGTCGGTCCTGTGCTCCAATCTCAAATCGTGCCGTGCCGTCTTTGTGGATGACTTTGCTAATAAGCCTTCAGTCATTCAAACATTGTAGAGCGTCCGCTACCAATAATCCCATCAAGTGCCGAACTCATAGTGAAATTCCTGAATTAATTTGGTGTGGCTAGTAATGCTTAGTTTAAAAGTGATTATAAGGCTTAATGCAATCAGTGGGATTGCTCACCAATTGCCATTGCTTTAAGTACCTGGATTTATTTCTTTGCAATACGTCAGATGCGAACCAGAGTTCTTTCCGTGAATCTTCAAAGCCGAACTCGACATTTAAGATCGGGAGTAACATGTATTTCGGCCGTTATTAAGCCAAAGTCTAACTCGCCCAAACCAATTAGGATTATCTTGTCGAATTTGATAACTGCATTTCTCATCCGATGCTGGAACAAAAAAAACAACTTAACGTAATACGCACCTTTTAAAAAAGTGTTTTGCGGGTTTTTATCCTGTAAATTTTCCACTTGCATGAGACAATTACAACGCATCTGTGCACATATGCTCATATGGACATTGCTGGTCAACTTTTGGAACTGAAAAAGTGGTCGCACGAGTGAGTCCTTCGTATGCATCCGGCTTACACAAACGTTCTTCAGTATGGTTATTCTATGAAGCAATAGTAGGATGACTATAGCACCAGTTAGAGAACACTCAGCATGTCCGTCATCTCACTTTTGTTTTGCTTGTGGCTAATTATCGAGGCAGATGGCGACATTCCAGCTCTGCTTCATTGGTCAGCAGTGATTTGTAAGCGCCCGTAGCGCATAGTCCGGCGGTATAGTTTGTGACATGCTGTTTATCAGTTGGACTGCCCATGTCAAGATCGACTATGAAAGCTGTCTGAACGCAAAGCGCATGACCATTTGCACTCGAGAGCGTATTTCATCTGTTACCGTTTACATACAGATGCGCACGTTGTTTCCGTCCGCATACAACTGACAAGAAATACACGAGTAAAAGCCAATAGACTGAAAGTGTGTCCACAGTATCTGTAAAGACACAGCCTCGCAATAATGTTTGTGTGCATGTTCTGTTTAAGGACGGAGATGTGTGCACGAGTATTCTAGTAACATATCATCTATCGTAATCCTTGACGCGCGTTCAGCTGTAAAAAAAAACAATGCAGTCTTGTATTGATTTGATAACTATGACCTTCTCAAGGTAAACAAGATTACTAGCCTTAAATGAGCACCAATGACATTTTGCTTCGAGCAGGTATCTAAGTTCACGGAAGTCGCATGAGAAGGTTTGGGGGGGGGACGCTTTGGGCACCAATATGGAGTATGGCCATATTTGACCTTATTGGACCCGAAGATCATGACCTAGGCATCTCAAATTCGGGCACATGTGAATTCATGTACAGACCAATACACCCTGTAAAATAAGTGTCTCTAGCTCTCTTATTTTTTAGATTTTAGGAGCACCAAATTGACCCCATCCGAGCAAAGAGCATTCAACCGGCCACCAGGGCGCGTGCTAAACAAGGAATAGGCAGATTTAATGCGAAGACTTTCCAACAGCCCGTCGTCACGTCCGAGCCACGTTGTAGAATCCACAACTCTCATGTTATCAAAAGCTGTAGAGATCGCTGGGGTGCGTCTCCGTCCAGTGACTGTCGGTGCCCTTGTTGAACGAACTTGGCTCTGGCTTGAGCGGAACACTACCCCTGCCAGTGCAGACAAGTTGTAGCCACGAAACCTTTGTGAGTGAAACGCTTAACATTACTGCTGTTACTCAAAAAGCTACGCATGTAGCTTCCGTGGCTCAAGCAGTTTAGTTTTGTGCTACCTGCGTCAAACAGCACACTCTGGCTACTGATACGTTAACATCTATAAAGACTACTCCCTTCAAATGCTGATAAGGATAAACGTCAAACATATCTGCGCGTTTGAGAGACATATGAGCTTGCATAAACGTTTAATGAAAGCGAATAACCTGACTTGGCTCACCTTGCAGCACTTCCGTTTGACGCCACTCCTTGGCATCGTTCGCAGGGTATTTTTCCCCGATGGTGGTCATCCATCGCCTCGACAACGGTAAATACAGGATAAAGGGCGGTCAGCACTCTTTCCCTCATCCCCGGCGCTACTAAGACCCCTTTTAACCAATGCTGCGGTCATGGCTATCGACGTCCGAAGGCAGATAGATGCCTTTGCAGCCATTTGTAGCAGACTCTGTTTGTCCTGGAGGCGTTACTGACCAGCCTCAGCACTAACAGGAAGCAGCATCTCAATGGCTGTCTTCGCCGCATGAGTACACCCAAACATTGGTGTGCTCAAGACGCCTAAAATGCTTAGCTTGAATCTGCGATGTTGATAACGGTGGCGCTGTTCTCAACGCACTTTCAACTTTTTCGAATTTGTTTGGAATATTGGTTCTGTGGACACTGCAAAGCCGTTGACTAACATAACACACCGAAATAACCCTGCTACCGTAACATTTGCTCCCGTTGCCCGCTTTTGTACGCTTAAAGATATATCTGCAAAGATCATACAGTACTATTGGCCTCATTCCTCGGAAAAACCAGGAGAATGAAAATATAGTTAGGTTGATATTTCGGCAACATGCCTTTCTCGAAACAACAGCAGAACAAGATGAATGCTGCACCACCACCCAGCCAGCTTTGAGAAAGGTATTTTGCCAAAATATCAACCTAACTATATCTCCATTCTCCTGGTTTTTCCGAGGAATAAGGCTGATACTGCTGTCTGATCTATGTGACTCATGTTCCTCGCTGATGCACCGAACAACTTACGTAATATATCTGCAAAGTATTCGGCACGGCAACATGAAAAACAGGGTGCGCAGTTCACTACAAACTTTCAGAAATGCGCAACCTCAAAATGCATCACATCATGTCCCACCGCATGTCATCCGTTCAGAAAAGGCAACAAAGCCCTATGCGTTGGTCGCAAAGTCTTGTCTGCACGACTGTGACCCCGATGTTGCGAGAAGAAGCGTTAGGCCTCTCCCACCTTCACCACCACCCAGCCAGCGACCTTTGCGGACGCGTCATCGCTCGCGGCTGACCTCTGGTCCTGCGCTGACCCCAGGTCGTCCTACGCCTCCCGGTATCTGCCGCCCCCTGCGCCCTCCAAGGTGCATAGAGGCGGCAAGACATACGTGCCGGGGACCGGTGGCAGCAGCTCCCGCTACCGGGGCGGCTGCGACGCCATACCGCCGGCGCCCATGGCGTCCGCCATCAGGTGCTCCACCTACTCGGGCTGCCGCGCCAAATGCATGGCGGGTCACCTGTTCCCGAACGGCGAGGAGCTGATCCAAATCCGCTGCGAGAACGGCGTCTGGACGCCGCCCGAGCCGTTCACCGAGATACCCGACTGCGCCCGTGAGTCCAGCGGCAGACAGGGCTGCTCAGCGATGGATCTGGCCCCGCTCGTGGGTCTGTCAGCGGCCCCGGTCACATGGGGCTGGGTGGGCTGCGCCTGGTCTAGGTCATGGCGGTAGAAATGGTGGCCTGTGTGTGGCATGTGTGTGAGAGTAAGCTGGCAACTCCGGTCCATATGCTACCGTTTTCATGAAGTTATCCCACGGGGATTGTATCCCATAGAAGCATGAAAAAGCGCAGACAATAAAGTAAGCGCACCGTTGTCCCATAAGCCCCATTATGCCACCGTTAGCAATAAGCCCGATTGCTGTCTCATATTGTGATAGCTGGATGTGAGCGATATACTTAAATGCTTGCCTACAGAGATATGCCTTAAGGACTTGCAGACCAGACCCGCATATTAGCACCGATGACTTCATCAGCAACTACGCTGCCTGCAAGGTCACGTTAAGGCATCATTGTGCATCGAGCCCCTCAGTGACATCACGAGCGGTGCGTGACATTAAAAGCCATCTATCGAACAGAACTGGCAGCCCGCAACAAATCCAAAGCTAACCATCCAACGCACGTGCCACAACCCAAACCACGCCGCCTACCAGCGCACGGTCTCGCCAACGTAAGGCAGCATACTTGCTTCCGCCGCGGGGCCAGCGCTGTTGACTGTGCCGCCGCCGGCAGCGGTCTGCACGCCCGCCTGCCAAAACGGCGGCACCTGCATCGCCGCCGACGTGTGCCAGTGTACCGAGGGATACGATGGCCGCTACTGCGAGGTGCGCCGCCAGCGCTGCACCGCGCCACGGCCCGCCATCTACAACGCTCGCATCAGTTGCACCAACACGTTAGTGCCCGAAGCGACCGTGCTGCTCTGCCCTGCTTGTGTCCAGTGGGTTGTCGTCCTTTTGTGTTGGATTCGCAGGTGAATCGTGCACTCCTGTTTCTCTGTTTACTGGAACCTATCCTCAACCCTGGGTCTCTTTTTCTTTCCCTCTCTTTCTCTCTCTTTCTCCCTCTCTCTCTCTCACCCTCTCCCCCTTCTCTCTCTCTCTCTCTCTCTCTCTTCTCCCTCTCTCTCCCTCTCTCACCCTCTCTCTCTCTCTCTCCTCCCTTCCCCCCCCCCCCCTCTCTCTCTCTCTCTCTCTCTCTCTCTCTCTCTCTCTTCTGCATTTGCGGGGTCTATAACCAACCATAAGCAACTTGGTACGATTATGTTTTTGTTCCCATTCTGACTGCTTTGTCCACATTTCAACTGTTCCAGCGCACGGCTTTGCGGAGAGAGAAAGCTCACATTGCATAACGCGCACATGCCGCTCTACCCAGAGTTCACTAACCTCCCGAACGAACGCTGGGTGCTGACAGGCGTTGTTCTGTGACCTGCGCTCGGGGCTACGAGACGGCCGACCGCCGCACGGCATTTGACATCGAATGCAGCGAGGACTTCGGCTGGATCGCGCACGGCGGCAGCAACGTGATTCCCGTGTGCCAGCGTGAGTCAGGCGACTGCGGGCTGACACCGGCCGGCACCACATGGCTCCTTGTGCCGGATTAGTATGTAGGTTTGAATGTTCAGACCAGCTCTCTGCTGCCTTTTGCATAACTCAGTGAAATTTAAAGCAGACCAAACAACCGCCCGTGAGGGCGTGCTCTGGACTTCGTAAGCTAGATTTCCTAATGAGAGGACTGGCCCGTCCCATGCACAGCCTTGGTGCCATGTCTTCGGACAGAAACCGGGAGGTAGGCTGTACCGCCGTGTGTTGAGTTCCGCGGTACAGGCTACCTAGCCACCCGCACGAAGTCTGGGAGCAAACGACAGGGTAGACTATTCAGCGGGATCTGCAGGCTGACAATTGCCCCGAGCACACCCCAATTTCGCTCTTTTGAGTAGCATTGATCATTGTGACACAAACTGTGTGAATAGATGCGTAAAAGTAGGCTGTGTTTTTTTGCTCAGCGCAGATCCCGCGCTACTGGACATTATACCAAGGAAAGATGCGATCACCATGCCGAGGCATGGTGATTGCATCCTCTCGATGCTTTCTGTGCGTAGCCAGGGAGCACGTTTGGTGATGGAGAGGATAACCCTGCATTTCTGATCATTTGTGCCGAATTGTTTTTAATACACCACTGGACGCCCAAATGCCAGGTTTCCCCAGTAGGCGTTTGTCAGCCCAAGCTTTTCCGAAGTGGAAGTGTCGATGCTCCGACGTTCCCGCGGAAAATGCTCTCATGTTGAGTTTAGATGCCTACACAACGCAACGTACAATTTTCTTACAATATACTGATCGTACCATTTGTCCCTGGCACTAGCGCAGCATTGAGGTGTGACATGAGCACAACGTGGAGACCTCCCCTCGACTTTTCCAGCTATCTGCCGACCGCACTGCGAGAATGGCGGCAGATGCGTGGCCTTCAACCTCTGCCAGTGTCCGAAACAATGGCGCGGACCCTCCTGCCAGTGGTGTGAGTACAGCAGGGGGGAGCAGCGGTGTGAGTACGGGAGAGTGGTGCAGTGATGTGAATACGGGAGGGTGGTGCAGTGGTGGAGTGAGGGAGAGTGGCGCAGTAGTGTAAATACGGGAGAGTGGTACCTTCAAGCCACCAACCCTAGTCCGCCGCTCACCATCACAGTAGCAGCAGCAGCATCGCAAACCGCTAAAAATCGGCGCCCATGTTTACATCATGACAACATATAATTATTTTAAGCGTGCTGATATCTAGCCTTTCGAACACGTTCATTCCTTTGATAAATATTGACGCTGGGCTGGTGCGTAATCCGGGTCAGAGTGGTGGTCTGGGCACCGCGGCGTGACGTCCGACGACGCAGGCCTTCCAGATGTTTTCAATGTGAAACTGGCCAGGAGATACGTACCTGACCTTGGCAATCATGGCAACTCAGCCAATGATGAGCTCACCACTCACGAACAGCAGCAAACAACTAACTGGCTCTGATAATGAGACCCATGGAGTCAGAACAGGGTGTGTTGGTTGATCGACTTGTAACAGCTATATAGCACAAGCTCTGAAGCAGCCGCAGACACACACCGCACACAACGTACGACCGCCACCGTCGATTCCACGCCCCGCCTCACCTGTTCGTGGCCGCAGCGGAGGACAACTGCGACCCGAATACGCAGCTGTCGTTCAACGGCGCCTACAACTGCACGGGCCGCGGCGACCAGTTCGGCTGTCAGCTGAGATGTGCCGACGGCCTGAGGTTCAGCTCGCCGCCGGCCGACATCTACCAGTGCGACTACAGCACCGGCCAGTACCACCCCACGCCCATCCCGCAGTGCGAGCACGGTGAGCACCGAGCCCATCCTACAGTGTGGGCTTGGTGAGCAGGGCCGCAGGGAGCGCTGGGCGAGCGGGGGGGGGGGGGGGGGGGGGGAGAAGTGAGCGTGTGGACGAGGAAGGCAGGCGATGGGCGGCGAAAAGCGAAGGAACGAGAGATAGTGTGGGGAAAGTATGGCATGGCTGCACACCATGAAACGTATGACACTCGAAATCCTTCATATTTCACATAAATACTTTAACATCGGTCAAATGAATGTCATGACGGTCCGTTTTTGAGCCTACATGGCATGTTTTCATAGAAAGACGCTCCACCCTCCCGGTCGGAGCTCTGGATGCATACCATACATACTTAATATATATATATATATATATATATATATATATAGTATATATATAGTTTATATATATATAATATATATAGTATATATATAGTATATATATAGTATATATAGTATATATATATATAGTTTATATATATATAATATATATAGTATATATATAGTATATATATATAGTATATATATAGTATATATATATATATATATATATATATATATATATATATATATGCGCGCGCGCGCGCGCGCGCGCGTGTGTGTGTGTGTGTGTGTGTGTGTGTGTGTGTGTGTGTGTGTGTGTGTGTGTGTGTGTGTGTGTACGCGCTCGGCCCCGAGCCAGCTGTGCCAGCCCTGCCTGACTGCTGACTGCTCCGCCGCAGAGTACGAGGTGATCGCGCCGACCCCGGCCACGTTCCTGCCTCCGCCCGTGGCGCCGGAGCCGCGCCAGTGCGCCTTATGGGCCGGCAAACACGTCAAGACGTTCGACGGCCTTGTCTACAGGTGGGAAGCCACTAGCTGGCGACCGGACGGCTCGGCGTCACGGCGAGCAGGGTCTGAGGCGGTGTTCTGTGCCGGTACTATCTTGCTCGCGCTGGCAAATCGGAATGGTACTTGAACGGTTGACGGGAATGGGCGGACCACCTGTTGTGTCGATCTTCAGGACGGTATTTTGTGGCCCACACAGACTATTTCTACCGCTACTATATTTCGCTCTTCCCACCAATGCATGACACTCTTGCCCCCGTCGAAACTTTCCCGCAACTGCCAAGGCGAGGCGTCCTCGCTGGTGCAGCAGCTGACTGTTGGCCGCCGGGCGCCGGCAGCTTCACCGGAGGCTGCGCGTTCACGGCGGTGTGGGACAGCGTGACGTCGCTGTTCCGGGTGGCAGTGGTCCGCTCCTGCGAACGACCCGACTGCGGCTGGAACCTGGAGCTCACCATCGACCGGGCCGTGCTGGCCGTCTCGGCCGGCGACGATGGCAGCCTCGTCGCCACCGTAGTAGGGACCGGGAGAGGGAAGGGGGCGCCGGGGCATTCTGGGCCAGACGGCTCGCGGCTGGCCCAAACCGCGAGAGTTCGGGCCAAATCAGAGACCCGTGCGCAACGCCACAGGTCTCTGTGGCTGCTCAGGTTTCGTTTGTTAAGTGTCGCGTTGCCACCGTGCTGGATGATAGCGATTTATCTTGCCAGCATGATGTGGACACGGTCGATGAAAGGATCGTATATTTGGCACAAATACCGCCGACCATGCAGTTTGATAAGAAAATAGACGCAGTTGGCTGGACTTGGCAATTTCTCGTGTTTATAAAGTCGGTAGCATTCAAAGGCTGACACTCAAAATTTGTGACTGAGACTCTGTTTCCGTGTGTTTTGAGCAGAAAAGCGGGTACACTGCTGCTAGAACGCTGCAGCTTCCCGCCGAAGAGGAGGGGCTGGTGGTGGAACAGGAGAACAGCAGGCTGGTCATCATCAGGGCCGCTGTCGTCGGCATAACCGTGCACTTCTCCAAGGTACAAATTACGCCGGACTCGGCAAATAAGGCGGGCATAGCACGTGTGTATGTGTCACCCGATCTTGTGTCTCCGGGATACCTGCTGGTGACATGGTGTTGACGCTCGCCAGTAGGATTCCAGATGACCTGGGTTAAACTCACACCCAACATCCTCCACAGGGGCATGAGCTGACTAGGCCTGCGTTCATATGACCTGAGCTGGGCGAATATGACCTGAATTAGGCTAACATCACCTTAGCTGCCCTGACATGTCCCAGGCTGATCTCAAACGAGCCGAGTGACTTTATTTGACCTGACGTCACCCTACATGAACAGACATGGCCTGGCCTGAGCTGATTCGAGCCTGTTGGCACGGCCTGGGCCCACCTAATTCTGCTTGTCGCGCCAGCCATGTTCTGACCTGACCTGACCTGGCCCGATCGCAGGACGCGCTGGTGGTGTTCGCCCAGCCGTCGGCGTGGGCCAGGCTGAGCGGGCTCTGCGGTACTCTGGATGGCTCCGCCCAGAATGACCTGCTTCCGGAGGGACTGCGTGCCACGCTGCAGGAGAACTTGGTTGATGGTGAGCACCGTCCCACACACGCTCGGCAGAAAATACAGGGTGGTCAGAGACGAGCCGAGGCTGTAAACACAATGCGCTGCCAAAATTATACTCCCAAAATGTGTAGTTGTGTGTTTGGTAGACGTTATCTTCAACTTATTGTCTTTGTCTTCACCTAGTGTTGAAATGTATTGCATGCAATGTCTGGTTCAGTTCTAATTTCAGGTGTTGATCAGGCGTCCGAGGATACACGACTGTCACTTGGTTGTCAAGCATTCCGTCATGACTGACCTGTTGTCGGCCTTCATTATCAGACCCTTTATCCACACCTTCGCGCTCCACCCCTTCCCGATGACCCGACTCACGAGAGCCACGACTCACGGCCCGACTCGAGTCACGGGAGTCGCGACTCACAGTCCGACTCGTCGGCAGGCTTGTGTGCGGCGGGCGCCATCAACACGGATCTGCGATGCAGTCGGCAGCAACAGGAGCACGCCAGGGCCGCCTGCAACGGCGCCCTCATGCGCGACACCTTCATACCGTGCCGGGAGGTGCGTGACCCGGGCCAGGGCGGCCCGAGTGTCGGGTGTCGGCTAGGATGTCGGCGCCCTTTTTGGGTGCCGACATCGTTTGCTACGAGGGGGTCGGTTTGGCCGGGAAGGACCGCTCATTCCGCGGCGAGCTTCTCAGGTGTTGGTCTTCCCAAATGCTGAGATACAAGACCTGAAATTTTGATCAAAGAATTCGATTAGACCTTGGATCGGGTTTTAGAAACCATTCGCCTTTCTGAATAACCGCATATTTTGTTTAGTTGAAGGGTGTGCAGAGCACTCTCGCCCCTGTCCGGCGCTGAGCCATGCTCATTGACAAGTCGGCTGCCGTCCCCAGTCCGTGGACGTCAGCTCGTTCATCGCCGCCTGCGTGGCCGACTTCTGCTACACGCTGGGTCAAACAGGCGACCCGGTCGGCGCGCCGTACGCAAGCGACGGCGCCGGAAGCGAGGCCAACGCAGCCGTCTGCGCCACAACTGCCGCCTACGCGGCTGAGTGCGAACGGCGCACGTCTCGTTCGTTCAGCTGGCGCTCCGAGGAGTTCTGCCGTGAGTAGCTGGCGCTCAGAGGAGTTCTGCCGTGAGCAGCTAGCGCTCAGAGGAGTTCTGCCGTGAGCAGCTGGCGCTTAGAGGAGTTCTGCCGCGAGTGTTTGCTCTACGCGGCTCCGCGCTACCTACTGTATTTATTAGAGCGAATTTCAGCGCTGAAAACAAAAACATATTTGTCATCTGCCCGCTGCCCAATGCGCAATAGCTTCCACGTAACAGCAGCAAAATTATGAACTGCTTGTTCCGCACGGTCTTCAAACTCTCATCTGATATTTGTTTTATTTTCAAAATTAGACAAATCTCATCACAAACACATATATCTAAGTAAATGAACAAAAAAGAGCTGCGTACTAAATGTGAGGAAAAATTCCTTTCCTCAAGTTCATCAATGTCCTGAGAAAACGACCGCGCCAAGTCGTGTACAGCCTCACAAACGCGTTCGAGTTGTGAATGAAGAAGAGCGGCCAAGCTTCGCCACGCCGCTGCAGAGTTCTCCGCAGACCAACGAAGTCCGGAGCATATTTTGAGGCATACGTCAAAACAGACACGGCCTGTGCATGCTTGGCGCCGACGACGACCAGCACCGTGACAGCGCAGGGCTTCCGTCTGCCCAGGAATGTCAACAGACTGTCCTGCTCGACGGAGGCAGCCGGTCACACCCTCGCGGGCCGCCTGCCGCTCAGTAAACAGCTGATAGCGGGCTGGCGCGTGCGCCATGTTCGCCGAACTCTGACGTGCCGCTATCGCCGCCGCCGCTAATGGGGGCCGGCCTGCCGAGAAGGCAGCCGGCTCCGCAGAGGAATGTTGGGGCTCGCGAGATTTTCGCCATGCACGTTAGGCAGCCGGTCCTTGCCCCCCCCCCCCACGTCCCTGGCCCATATACGTGTCCACAAAATGCTTAGCTGTATAAACCCAAGAGCTCACGCGTGATAATGACACTGGCGTGCTTCCCGACATGAATGGAGACAACTTGAAGGGTAGGTTACCCGTCCGAGTCCTTTTTTGCCGTCAGCACGTACCAGATAATCATTGCGGTGCAACTGTTGACAGCTGTTTACAAATATGATTTCTGTGCACGATCCGATCATTGGTTGGCCTGGGTCTGGCGCAGCCTAACGAGCTGGAATTGGCCAGTGCCGCAGTCTGAGGGTCATATGTAGACACATCTTGGAATTTATCATGTTTTGGTGAAGGTGCCCTGAAAATCGCCCTGGAGAATAATGATCTGGTCTGTCTTGATTCGTGGCGCAGCTGCGTCAAGCCTAACTCTGGCTTGGTCCCTACAAGGGCCTGATCTGACACGCAGCGCTGTCGCGTCCGGACTGGTTTGACTTCAGTCCGTGCGGCTGACCTGTCATTGACCTCACCTGACCTGACCCGCAGCGCTGTCTTGTCCGGCCGGACTGGTGTTTAGCCCGTGTGGCGTGCGCCCGTCGAACCGGTGCGGCCCCGTAGTGAGCGACTCCTGGGAGTGTGAAGAGGGCTGCACCTGCCCAACCGGCCTGCTCATGGATGGAGACCAGTGTGTCGACCCTGCCCAGTGTTCGTGCATGCACAACGGAGTCCGCCATTTGGCTGGAAGCTCGATCACGCAGGACTGCAATGGCTGGTACGAACTCGAATAAGTCTGGCTGTCGGCGGTAGATTGTACTCACCACTGCGCTGTGCACTTGTCTCGCCAATGAATGGAGTACAAGCCGGTTGAAAACAGTTTTTGCAACCGGATCTAACCTGTTTCTATGACCAGCTGAGTGCATAGCGTTCGCCAACTGACACAGAGGCCAATGCTCCGAACTCGCCCTCGCAAACCCAGCTCTTACTCCACCGGCGCTCACGAGCTTTCCGTTTGGTGGCAGCACGTGCACGGCGGGTGAGTGGACGTGCACGGAGGCCGTCTGCGCCTCCAAGTGCGTAGTGGCCGGAGATCCGCACTACCTGACCTTCGACGGCGTGCGCTTCGACTACCAGGTAATACAGGACTATTCATCTTCGTGGAGGAAACTCGGGCCCTGCTGCACCTTGCTGACCTCTTTTGTATTTCACGACTTTTACACGGACGGCCACGAGAAAAGTGCATTAAAGTGAAGGTGTCGCTGAAACCTATTCTAATGAAGTGGCTGAACGCATTGACAGCATCTCATGGTCTAAGAAAGTACATGACAGATACGTGCTCCAGTCGATCGCCGTTTTAACTTCACACCTAGCTATCATGAAACTAATGGGGCTCGTCATTCTTTTTCAGGGTAAATGCTCCTACTATCTGTTGCTGGCTAAAGACTACAGTGTCCAGGCAGAGAACGTTCCTTGCTCTGGAGCGATCTCAGAGGTCAGTACGCATATACAATTTGTGGGAACTGAATGACCAGATAAATCCTTGAGCACTCGAACCGCTAAGCTCAAATAAATATTAACTTAACCTACTGATAACGTTTAGCTACTGAAGTGTTTCGAATGCAATTATGCTTACGGTTGACGTGCACATTGACCTCAGGTTGCGAACAGGGCCTCCGGCTGTGAACGCGACAGTGCCCATTTATAGGCATAGGAACGATGTCCACAAAAGGACACTGCCGTGGCGTTGAATGCTAGTGGCCGAGGTCGTGTGCTCTCCCGTTCTCACTTCTGTACGGGAATCGTTCCGTTCTCCAGCAAACTGTCCCTTCTGCACGGCCCTGAGTAAACGGTCCGAGACCGAAAACAAACCTATCCAAACCGCCGTTCGCCCAGCGACAAAAATTCCGCCGCCACAGAAAATGAACTACCACCCGTCAACACTGGCCGGCCAGCCGTCCTGCACGCGCTCAGTGCGGATCGAGTACCAGGGCCTGACGGTGGACCTGAAGCAGGGCCTGAAGGTGAAGGTCAATGGAGAGACCCCGCCGCTCGTGCCCTGGTGGGTGGACGGCATCTACATCAAGTACGCCTCGACCCTGTACCTGTCAGGTGAGCCAACGGCCGGCAGAGCAGTCGTAATGGGATCTCGTGCGGCTGGGGCGGCCGGCGGAGCAGCCGTGAGGGGATCTCGTGCGGCTGGAACGGCCGACGGGATAGCCGTGATGGGATACCGTGCGGCTGGGACGGCCGGCGGGGCAGTCGTAAGGGGATCTCGTGCGACTGGAACGGCTAGCGGGATAGCCGTGATGGGATCTCGTGAGGCTGGAACGGCCGGGAGGATAGCCGTGATGGGAAACCGTGCGGCTGGGACGGCTGGCGGGATAGCCGTGATGGGATCTCGTGCGGCTGGGACGGCCGGGGGGATAGCCGTGATGGGATACCGTGCGGCTGGAACGGCTGGCGGGATAGCCGTGATGGGATCTCGTGCGGCTGGAACGACCGCTTGAGAGGTGCTCCCACCGAGCTGGTTTAGGCCTAGACTAGGTTAGAGGCGAATGTGGAGCTTCGTGTTTGTCATTTGTGGCAGACTGCAGGACATGTTTGCTTGTTCCCCGGAATTGAAGGAATCTGGAATGCAAATTCCGTCATTGAAAAGAACAGCTAGAAGGACATCGAGGGGCGATGGCCCATCAAAGACATATCACACCTTCCTTACGAATGTGCGTCAAAACACTTTGCTGAAACCCCCACTGCAAGCAAAGGCTCAGTTTCCTCAAAGTACAAATAAACCAAATGTGACCATGGCTTCCCGAAGACGTCGAGTTCTTTTGACGTCCTGGCGGTCCAGCAGAACGCAGGCCCAGCTCAGCCTCTGAGCCCAGCTGCAGCAGCAATCCCACCTCAGCCCGGCAGCGTCTGACCCGGTGCTGACCCGACCTGACCACAGTGACGCTCCCCAACGGTGTGGAGGTGTGGTGGGACGGCGAGACGCGCGCCGTCATCCACTCGCCAGGCGAGCTGACCGGCGCCATCGGCGGTCTGTGCGGCAACAACAACGGCAATCAGCGCGATGACTTCAGCACCCCGGAGGGTGACATCGAGACGGTGAGTCTGCCGCCGCCGCCTACGACAGCTGACGCTGTTCGGTGGCCTCCGCACGCCTCACGGACAAATTATACCTGCTGGGAGGCTGTAGCCGGGTGGCTGAGGACATCCAGTTCCGAGCGAGTGGCTTGCGCTCGATTCCCACCCTGGGAAGGTGTCACCTTCCCCGCCTCCCACCGAGCGGTGGCAGGTGAAAATTTCCCACCGAGCGGTTCCACCGAGCCTTAGACCTTAGGGATCCTGAGCTTGAATCAGTAAGACATTAGCCTTTACTCGATCCATGCGCATAGGCGACTGACTGCGGGCACGGCGCCCGGGAAACGCGGGTTCACTAACGCCAATGCCGTTCGCAGAACGTGCTGACATTCGCCTCTCAGTGGCGGGTTGACGAGACATGTGACGACCGGACCGAGGAGACCACGCATCCGTGCCAGGCGCACCCCGAGAAGTACGCTGAGGCCGCCAAATACTGCGACAAGCTCGTCTCTTCACCGGTCTTCCAGGGTCAGTGGCGGCGCGGCTCGCACGAGGCGGCCTGCCGCCAGACGGCCGGCCCGGGTTTCTGATTGACGGTGGCTTAATGCATTTGTTATTTATATGGACTGCTTGTTGTGATGTGGCTTACGTTATATACTCCGTTTTTGATGTCATGGCCGTGACGTGTTATGAAGTAGTTTTCTAGTTAACACGCGCTCGGGTGGAGGGTCAAATTGACCCCTCCCCCGAAGGTTTTTCCAAAATGGTCCTCGAACGGCACGGCCACGCCACGCCAAATTTCGCACAGCTGTAGACAATTAAATAGCGGATCGTTTGACATACAAAATTTAGAAGTACTTTGTAAGGTCGCTGACCTATGGCAGATCAAAGTTAGGCCATGGTTTCAGCGAAGGCAATTTCGAGGGAATCTTTCAATCTGATTCAACAACGGAGTGTTAGACGAAGCCCTACATCTCTGAGATGCTTTCTTAGGCAGCACAACAGTTGAATGAGCAAATTACATTGACCTAAGGTCAGGTATGAAGGTCACACCAAGGTTAAAACCAACCTGTCTTGTTACTCTAGGGCTTGCTGCATGGGATAGTTTCTGGTGCTCATTTCAAATTTATTGATAGCAGGAGCCGCATTATACATCATTCATGGTCTTCTAAGAGGTCAGAATAGGTCATGGACCTAAAATGACCCGATTCAAAATTTTGTTTTAGGAACATACTGTCTAGCGTAATCTTTGTCGCTTAGTCAAATGCAAAACTCAAAGCGATCTTGCATGATTTTGGTCGCCTCGACCTTCAAAAAGTCAACCAAGGCCACTGACCTTAAATGAGCATGTGACCTTTTGTTTAGAAACGGTTATCTAGGTTCTGAGGACATTTTGGAGATCAACCTGGAACTTGTCCTTGTTTGACCTTTTTTGACCGGAAAGTCATGATCTAGGAACCTGAAACTTTGACTTAAGTGAGTTCACGAACAGGTCAACACACCCTGTAAATTTGGTATTGCTAGCTATCTCAGTTCCCGAGATCTTAGGGGGGATCAAGATGACCCCCACCCGAGCGAAGAGTATCTAGCCGGCCACCAGGGCGCATGTTAAGATATACAAACTTTCAGTTGTTGCTGAAAAGCTAGAATTTACTGCGTTCCATTCATGACAGCACCGCATAACGTAATGACATGTGATTTTTGCCTTGAATTTTCGCTGCCTTGATAATTCCTGTTGGTTGCCCAAACGTGCAGATTCTCAGAAATCAATTGAATGTTACATGAAAATATTTTGCTGAAAAACAAAGGCCTCGTCTAACATGTTCCGTAAGCGTAGAAGCCCGTTGATGAGCGCTGACAGTGAGGGATCCGTCACGTCACGTTCGTCACGCCTTGCAGCATGTCACACGGTGGTGGACCCCACGCCGTACGTCAAGAACTGTCAGTACGACATGTGCAGCTGCCGCACTGAACTGAAGGACTGCTACTGCGTGCACCTGGCCGACTACGCCGAAGCCTGCACCGCCAACGACGTCGCCATCGAATGGCGGTCCGAAGTCGGGCTTTGTGGTAAGCACTTCCGACGTCGCGCAGAGGCGTAGGCGCTCTGACGTCACTGGAAATCCGTGTTTTTCGGTGGGCGTTTTGAATCCACCGATAAGCGAGAAGTCAGGCTGGTTATAAATGGTTGGTTTGACGTCAATGAATATTTGAGTTTGGAATAGTGTCATCAATGCTCATACAAAACTGGACACCAATGATCAGGTTACGTGTAACGCGCGTTCTGAGACAGGTCTTGTTAAGTGACCTTCTCCGTCTACACTGTGCAATGTGAATTTGCTACTGCTATTAGCCGACCACAAACTCCCCTGACAGCCCCCCCCCCCCCTCAAATCACTCCGCTCGCTAACCTTCGTGACCTGACCCCCAGGTGTCAACTGTCCATACGGCCAGGAGTACAAGATGTGTGGCGACTCGTGCGCGCACTCCTGCTTTGATCTGGCGACCAACACCGAATGCGAGAAGCGTTGTGTGGAGGGCTGCCAGTGCCCGTCCGGTCTGACCCTGGACAACGAGGGCCGCTGTTCCCCCATCAGCCAGTGTCCCTGCGTGCACAACAACAAGGAGTACAAGCCCGGACACCGGCGCTACGACGGCAAGGGGAGCAGCCTGCAGCTGTGGTGCGCACTCGGTAACGGGGGGCGGGCCAAGGGGAGCAGCCTGCACCTGTGGTGCGTACTCGGTACCGGGGGGCCGGCTGGGGGGCGGGCCAAGGGGAGCAGTCTGCAGCTGTGGTGCGTACTCGGTACCGGGGGCCGGCTGGGGGGCGGGCCAAGGGGAGCAGTCTGCAGCTGTGGTGCGTACTCGGTACCGGGGGGCGGGCCAAGGGGAGCAGCCTGCAGCTGTGGTGCGTACTCGGTACCGGGGGGCCGGCTGGGGGGCGGGCCAAGGGGAGCAGTCTGCAGCTGTGGTGCGTACTCGGTACCGGGGGGCGGGCCAAGGGGAGCAGCCTGCAGCTGTGGTGCGTACTCGGTACCGGGGGGCCGGCTGGGGGGCGGGCCAAGGGGAGCAGTCTGCAGCTGTGGTGCGTACTCGGTACCGGGGGGCGGGCCAAGGGGAGCAGCCTGCAGCTGTGGTGCGTACTCGGTACCGGGGGGCCGGCTGGGGGGCGGGCCAAGGGGAGCAGTCTGCAGCTGTGGTGCGTACTCGGTACCGGGGGGCGGGCCAAGGGGAGCAGCCTGCAGCTGTGGTGCGTACTCGGTACCGGGGGGCCGGCTGGGGGGCGGGCCAAGGGGAGCAGTCTGCAGCTGTGGTGCGTACTCGGTACCGGGGGCCGGCTGGGGGGGCGGGCCAAGGGGAGCAGTCTGCAGCTGTGGTGCGTACTCGGCACCGGAGGGCCCACTGGGGGGGGGGGGGGGGGGGGAGCGGGCCAAGAGGAGCAATCTCGGAGGAGCTTCGGAATCGCATGATCTGTTTTGCGCTATCGCACTGTTCGTGTGTGTTTGTGTGTGTGTGTGTGTGTGTGTGTGTGTGTGTGTGTGTGTGTGTGTGTGTGTGTGTGTGTGTGTGTGTGTGTGTGTGTGTGTGTGTGTGTGTGTGTGTGTGTGTGTGTGTGTGTGTGTGTGTGTGTGTGTGTGTGTGTGTGTGTTTCGCTCACGCTTGGTGATAGTGCGTCTTGACTTTGTGCGAGTCCACGACGCAATGATGAGCCATGATCCACGAGCGTTATTCGATGTCACTCGAGTCATATTGAAAAGAGTGGGGAGAACGACGAGCGTGAGTAAGATGAACAAAAGTAAAAGGGGCTGCAAGCAGCGCGTAGGTCGGTGCTGAAACGCTTCTTACCTTGCTTCTCTGTCACCAGTGAGTGTGTGAACGCACACTGGGATTGTGAGCTGGCCAAGACCGAGCCGTTCAGGGAGGACCCGGCCAGCAAGTGTGACGCCTCCAAGCACATGGTGTTCCAGGACTGCCTGCCGCAACACCCGCTCACGTGCAGGGTAAATCACCGAAAGAGTGCCGTTTCAGAACAACAAAATCATTAAAAATAGCATCACACCATGCTGCGTTATGGGGGCTGCGTAACTGCTGAACGGCACCGAAATGAGGCACGTGACACATGAAGGGTTATTTAGCAGAACAATATTGCAATCATTCGGTCGCATTTTGATGCGCAGTGCTATATCGGACTGTAAACACAAGTCGGACAGGACCCAAGAGCACTGGGAAGCAGTGTTATACCGGACTGTAAGCACATGTCGGACAGGACCTAAGAGCACTGAGAAGGTCGCAATTCAGACGACCTTCCAACTGTCTGCCCTTAAAGATGCAATCTATCTACCCTCCACGTGTTAGAGGAGTGTTACACATGCCTCTGGCACCGGCGTCGGTAGAGAAGTGTTACACGTGTCTCTGGCACCGGCGTCGGTAGAGGAGTATTACACATTCCTTTGGCACCGGCGTCGGTAGAGGAGTGTTACACATGTCCCTAGCACCGGGGTCGGTACACGTCGAATAGGAACTGCCTTGTCTTTCACCCGGACCAGGGCAAGAACACCGCTCTAGTACTGCGCCTGTTGCCTCGGGGACGCGTCAGTGAGTCTCAGCCCAGGCGGGGTGACGCAGTTCACCTCAGCAGCTACACACGTTTACGCACATCCCAAGCACGGCCTCAGGTCAGTGACCTGAGACCGCCGCTGGAAACAGGTGTTTGAGCGCCGTCTGCTGCCGACAGAGCCGCAACACGCCGCGACCCGAGAGCTCCAAGTCGCTGCCGTATGCCTGCGAGCCGGGCTGCGTGTGCGAGGATGGCCTCCTGCTGGACACCGGCTCGGGCGCGTGCGTGACGGCCGAGCAGTGCCCGTGCCACCACGGCGGCGGCGCGTTCGCTCACGGCCAGAACGTCTCCACCGAGTGCCGCTCCTGGTGAGGCCGGCGTACCAGCGGCGCCCGGGATGGACCGACTGCAGCCGGGAAAGGGACCGACTAAAGCCGGGGAACGGACCGACTGTGACCGGAGACGCAACCGACTGCAGCCGGGAAAGGGACCAACTGCAGCCGGGGAAGGGACGGACTGCAGCCGGGGAAGGGACCAACCGCAGCCGGGGAAGGGAACGACTGCAGCCGGGGAAGGGACCGACTGCAGTCCGGGAAGGGACCGACTGAAGCCGGGGAAGGGACCGACTGCAGTCCGGGAAGGGACCGACTAAAGCCGGGGAACGGACCGACTGTGACCGGAGAAGCGACCGACTGTGCCCGGGGAAGAGTCGGTCTGTCAGCGGGGAAGGGACAGGCTACCTCGGGAACCAGACTCGCTGGCCACCGCACCAGTGCAAGGACCGATTATCTGGGGTGGGGAGGGGATGGAATGGGGCAGACACACTGGGCAGTGCACCAAGGACAGGATAGGCGGCAACAGAGTACCTGACCCATGGACCACTTCACCGGAGATTGAACAGACCGCGCCGTGATGCGATGCACTATACGTGGAGCGAAGCGGCCGCGTGCCTGGAAGAAGCACGGCCGCCAAGGAAGGCAGTGACTGTGCAGAACCGTACTATGATTTGGCCGGACGGATGCTTCGACTCTCCTCGTTGACAATGGCGCTAAGGTCAAAACCAAACCAGATTAGTTCCACCGTGTGCACCCTGGCCCGGGGTAATAGCAGGTGTGAACAACATGGCAATGACTGGGCTGCCGCTGCCGACAGTACGTGCCAGAGCGGCACGTGGACTTGCGAGGAGGAGGAGTGCGACGGCGTCTGTACCGCCTGGGGGAACTCCCACTACGAGACATTCGACGGCCGCATCTACGACATTGAGGGAGACTGTCAGTATATGCTGGCTAAGGGCAAGATATCACACAAGAACCAGTTCGAGATCATCGTCGTCGTAAGTAAACACCTTGCAGATGAGTGGCATCTCGCACCACACGAAGTGTCAAAACCATATCTGCATATCGCTTTCACTTCGATTAACAGTATACTATTATTCGTAACATTTCGTTATTGACTCAAGATGTCGTTTCTCCTGCATACAGATTCACACTTCTTAAATTTGTAACGAATTCGACTCTCATACCCCTGCGTACTTGAGTTAACTTTAGCCGTCGTCTCTTCAGAACGTGCCTTGCGGCTCGGGCAGCACGTGCCCCAAGGCAGTGACGGTCAGAGTCGGCCAGGGGGTGAGCCTGGAGAAGATAACGCTGGAGGATGGAAAGCCTCTGCCCTCAGCCTTCGAGCTCAGGCGGTGAGCAGACTGGTGTTGGGCCTGATGCGCCGTGCGCGTCGCATTAATTGTCTGTCTCCACGTAATGTGTCAAGGTCAACGCTAGCCCAAACGCCCGGCCGTTAACGCAGTAAAAGACAGTTGGCCTTAATTTATAAAAAAGCGCCCAGATACTTGAGACAGCAAAATATTTGGATGAATCACAGTGACAGTTTCAGTATAAATGCCCAGTCACCAGTGGCCATCATTTTCAGACGATAGAAACCTCAGCACGGTCCCCAACCACTTCAGGCTCTCGATTCCTGGTCTTTAACGTGGACGTCTGTTCCAGCCTGTCAATCCGCAAAGCCGGCACCTTCGCCTTCGTCGAGGCGCCAGCACTGGGTGTGGTCGTCCAGTGGGACTACGGAACCCGCATCTACATTCGCCTCTCCCCCCAGTGGAAGAATAAGGTACTGCCGTCCAGCCATCCACTCTGCGTGGATAAATGATCTCGTAGCATGTAAATCCGCATCTCTTGGTGGGGTCAAGCACCAGACAAGATCTATACCATATTTGTAAGGGACTGAGTGATGCAAAGAATGCTGGAAACGCTTTGAAGTGTTCCGAACAATCTGGTATGAACATCGGTGCAGACAAATTGAAATTTGATTGAAATTTGCTTGAATTGAAACGTATTGAAAGACAAATGCATTTGCTTTGCAAAAGTTTATGCACTTTAAGCGTTATAAAATGCTTAAATTAGATATACGAAGAAAAAAATATCCTATGGGTATCCGCACTCCTAATAATATTCTTATATGTATATATATATATATATATATATATATATATATATAATATTCTCAAAAATATTCTATGGGCAGCCTGTCGCCAAGGCTACTGCTCACGATTCCCGCTGCTTCGATAGGTGAAGGGCCTGTGCGGCAACTTCGACGGCAACCCCGGCGACGACTTCCGCGGTCCGTCCGGCCTGCTCGAGAACACGGCCGTCCAGTTCGCCGAACAGTATAAGCTGCAGCCGTACTGCCCCAGCACAGCTCCCACAAAGGCAAGCGTCTCTCGCCGACCTGTACAGCAGTACACAAGCGGCATACATACCGTACCGATGCGGTACAGCTGTACTGTACCGACGCGCCGCCGCAATGCAGGAGAGTTCCCCCTCCATCCCCCCCCCCCCCCCTCCCTTCCTCTATTGCCATGTCCAGACGACTCCATTGCTGTTGTTGGCCTTATGCCCAAATTAACCTCGCGGCGGCGGTGACCAGTGTTATTCACCACAAAAGTAATGTCTGGATGCCTCCGCGTTGTTTTACATTTCGATCAAGCTTGAAAATTAGGGCAAGGGTGATTGAACTCTTCTGTTAAGTCTGAGGTCTCAGGCTGTGTATACGAGACATACAAAGACATCATGACCGACGGCGTGCATGTCCTTCCTGTTGTAGGTAGCAGTTCATGTAAAGCGCAGAATAAATTGGTTTCATATGTCTTTTTACCTAAATCGGTTTTGCGATGAAATGATTTAAGTGGGACCAACGGCCGTGTAAAGTTAAGCTGTAAACCAACGAAACTGGCGGAAAGTTACGGATTTGGGAGCTGCGACTAAGACAGCTTTCCTGAGCAGCTCAGCCGCTCGTCCCGAGTTCCGTCGCCGACGCTGCTGTCCCGTCTCCACCTCGGCCGAGGCTGACCGGTGCCTCCCGGCTGCCGCAGGACGCGTGCGCACGGCACCCGGAGCGCCACCTGTTCGCCGTGCGCAAATGCGCGACCCTGCAGTCGTCGCTGTTCGCCGACTGCCACTCGGAGGTGGACGTGGCGCCGTTCGTCGAGCGCTGCGTGTACGACGCGTGCGCCTGCACCGGCGGCGGCGACTGCGAGTGCCTCTGCACGGCCATCGCCGCCTACGGCCAGGCGTGCAGTCGGCGCGGCGTGCACGTGCGCTGGCGCTCCAATGACCTCTGTCGTGAGTGTCTGGCGTTGGCGCGGCGCGGGACGGGCCTGGAGTCACGTGGCTGCCCGATGCCTAGTGTCGTGGGTGGCCGGCGTTGAGTGCAGCGGGTGTCTGTTGCTGAGTGTCTGATGTCCGGTTGCCGGGATGTTCAGAGTCTGGACCGGGGCGGGACGAGTGCTGGGACAACGCGCGCCTCCTGGTAACGTGCCCCACGCAGCCATGCTTAGAAGAGTTGCTGGTGAACGGAGCTTTCAAATTGATCAAGCATTCCTCAAATGATTCGATAATTCAAGAACCAGCCGTGTCAACTCAATAAAGCTACTTAGCTCCGTGCAGCGCTAGGAGTGCCTGGGAGCTCCCAGTTTCAAAGGTTTCGAATTTGAACAACTTGACCGTCAAGGCCTGCCTCCTCACGTCCCGCTCCACGGCTCTCAGCGATGCAGTGCGATGCCACCTGCTCGACGTACGACCCGTGCCTGAGCGCCTGCCCGCCCAAGACCTGCGAGAACCGCTACATCTACGAAGAGATCGTCACCGTGTGCGCGGAGGACACGTGCGTCGAAGGTACGTCCCCCGGCGGCTCCTTGGATCCGCCATGTCACCGCTGGCGTCGATGGTCCATGGATCCATCAAGGGGTTGTGATATGCAACAGGGCGGTCACAGATCAGGCAGGACGCGTCGCGTCGCCCGGCACTGGCCGGGCCGCCACACGCGAAGGGTGGTCCGCTCGACCTGCAAAATGCGCCGGCGACTGCCACTGCCACTGCCACGGCCACTGGCACTGACCAGTCCCGCTCCTCGGAGCCTGTCAACGGCCCATCGGCCACCGCCCGCCGCCATCGGAGCCTTCCAGCTCTGCCCCGCCGTCCCCGCGGGGCCGTGGCCCGCGGCAGCGGGTGTGGCCGCGTGTGACGCATGTTTTGGCCGCAGGCTGTCGACCCCGCCCTTGTCCTCCCGGCGAGGTGTATTCCAACTCGTCTCTCAAGTCGTGTGTCAAGGAGAGCGCGTGCCGCACGAAGTGCGCTGTCATCGGCGAGCAGCAGTTCTTCGAGGGCGATGTCGTCTCCAAAGACAAGTGTCACGTTTGGTGAGGCAGGACGCCATTCTAAAGGAGACCAAAACCTCTCCGTAATTCGAATAGTAGCATGGGTGCATGATGTCCTGTGCGCGCTATGTACGCAGTGCACACGTGCAAAAATGTGACGTGCGCTATGTACATAGTGCGCGTTATTTTTATCTGTGTGATTAGTTTACACAGCTCGAAAGGTCATCATTTTGACTCTGTGATTCAGGCTACTGTCACGGAAAGCGATTCCACAATTTTATTTGTGGATACTCAGGCCAAGCATTACCTGTCCCGTTATGTTGAGCTCAGGGCTTGTACATGTTGCATCATTAAGCATAGACCCTGTTCAGTGGTTATAAAAGTAAGAATCGTTGTGCTGCGCCTGTGTGGCAATGATGACGTCGAAACGCGGTATCTCTATTTTAATATTTGTTGGAAGTCAAGCCGATGTAGATAACGTCAGTTATGTTGTCGAATTTCGGTGGACAGCACTAGGTCACGCGGTGCTTACTGGACCAGCACATTGAACAAGGACTTCGTAACAAACGATGCCCTTTTCTGGACAGCCACTGCACGAGAGGTCAAGTGAAGTGTCGAGGTACCGCCTGCCCTCCACCTGTTGATCCGAGGCCACCAAAACCACCAGAGCCTGAAGTAAGGGCCAAGCGGCATTCTTGCAACGCTCCTCTGGCCGCGTGTGTTTCATAAGCTCCACCTCGCCTTCTACTCAGCACGGCTCCCGTGAGGTCAACATGCCTGATGATCCTCTGCTGAAAGCGGCGGTGTTATGCGCTCAGTGCTCCTTACGGCATGTACTGGTCACTTTCGAATGTGGAACCACGCGCGGAGAAGCATAAGGACGCGACGGGCTCCTCATAGAGAATGACTGCACGAGGTGACCGCTGCCCGGCCATCGTTGTCACCAATCCCGGCGCGCCTCACTACAACAGCAGCCATTTGTTGTGCGTTCTGCTGCTTCCATCCCGCAGCCGGCGAACCCTCAGCTGTCATTCGCAGAGAAATAACAGAACCCCTACCCCCACAGAAATAGCAGAACCCATCAGATACGCGCCGCTGCAGTCCACGAGCGCGCCTTTGGCGGCAGAGACCGGGTATCGACGTGATTGATCCCTGGATGGCGCCCGCTCCTGTGACCCTGCAGGTTCCATGACCCATGACCCTGCTCCTGTGACCGTGCGCTCCTACCCCAGACGGGACCAGCTCCTATCGAGCTGCAGGTGTGCAAGCCTGGATGGAGCGGCTGGGTGAACCGGAACCGGCCTGTCATCTACACACGACCCAAGGACGTGGAGCGCATCCCGTCCTTCATAGAGCCGGTAGGAGAGGCGCCGAGATCAAAGCGTGCCGCCGCCTACAGCACGGAGACGGTATGCTATGGCGGCGGTCAGGCTTGCGCAGCCTGCTCACCGGGGCCGCCAGCTAGTTACCGCCTCCGTAACGGCAGTGGCTGGTCGCAAACAGTTTTGAAACGGATACATGCATGCCGCTGCTCTCGCTGCTGCGGGATACCTGCCACTTTGAACCGCCATATGAAGACCGGAGAGCCCGGAGAGCTATCTGCACAGGACAGGTGTCAGTACAAAAGATTCGTTTGGGTTTCACCTAGATCGTATCTTTATAACTATCCCCCAATTCTAATGACAAATGTCCAATCTTCTACGAAATCATTTCAAAGTTGTATGCCTTTGCTTAACACCCACTCGGGCTAGAGAAAACTGAAGGTTTCCAAAACAGTACACAAAAAATGTGTCGGAGAGTCAGGTGCAGCCTTCAAAATTTTGTGCCGCTTAACAGTTAGATAGCCAATCTTTTCGTTTACAGAGCAGATATAGTTCGTGAGGCCGTTGACCTGCGATAGATCAAAGTCAGGTCATGACCCGGGGCAATGGCCCAATATGAAGCGACAACGATGTGTTAGATGAAATCGTGCAGCATTGAAGGTGACTTCTCAGGCAGTTTGAATACTGAAATTAGGATTACAGGCTCAATCGACACCGGATCGAGTACGGAAATCAGGTCCTGGTCAAGACCAAACCGCTTCATTACCGAAAAACGTCCTTACCATATAGCTTTGACACTCGTTTCAAACTCATCGATCACAAGGGCAATATATTTCTGCTTTCATCTCCATGTAGATCAAGTGAGGTCACTGACCTGAAACGAACTCGATCAACCTTTTGCCTTATAAAGCATAAAGACTAGGATAGAGCTTTGCGTTGGTTGTAAATGCAATGTGAAGATCCCAGAGGTTTCTGGTTCTTTTCACGTTCTAAACGCCATTAAGGTCGCTGTCCGGTAAACGCTAGTGAAATCTTAAGAATAATTGGCATCTAGCTTAACGTTGATTGTATGGACTGATCTGATCACTTCGGACACCGGTCTGGGGTTTGACCTTGTTTAACGTTATTTGGTCCATAGGTCAAATAACGTGAAATTTAGGCACCTGAAAATTTGACACAAATGGGTTCACATCAAACTTACTCTGTAAATTTGTTGTCATTAGCATTCTTAATTTTTGGGACTTCAAGAAGTCCAGTCGCCCCCCCCCCCCCCTTCCCCACCCAGGCGCGTCTCATTCCACGTCTCATTCCTCCCAAACGCGTATTTAAGCTATATTGTTGCATGATTTCGAAAGCCACCCTGGTAATTGCTTTTGCTTGGAAGCATGGACTGGCTTTAACCTCCTATCGAACAAACATACTGAAATATATATCGTGTTTTGGAAGTGTCATGTTAGCTATTAAATTGTTAAACGGCTGCAACCATGCAAAGTTTGGTGTCGTTACGCCGCCCTGCGAGGAAGTTATTTTGGAAAAACCGTGAGGGGTCGATTGTATCCTCACTCAGCCCTGTGCGTGTTAAGCCCAGTAGAAAGTAGTAAGTAGAACAGCGCCTTTCACGCGTCGGATGTTTTATATAAGACAGCTAGGGGCAATCATATCTTTTATTAGTGCACCCATAATGAGTTCCAAATACGGAAATAACAAATTGGCATCAGGTGGGTGCATGCAACGACTTACGGTCCACCACAAATAAATACATGGGAAGATATGCCCGTTCACCCTATCTTAAAAGCTCTCACGGCGTATTGCGAGCGTTGTTTGGGTACTGTTACGCAGCGATTAGGCTTAAAATGCAAACGTGATAGGTGGCGACGGCCTTTTACACTAAATGCGCCTTAAAGAATGAATTCAAAATTGCAACTTATCATTCGTTCAAGATTGCCCATGTTAATGCGCGATGCGTGCATCAACCCATAGGTCAACAGCGTCATGATTTAATAATGATGAATCCGTTGACAATGACATAATTGTGTTCGATCACTAGGATATCAAAAGCCATCACTCATCACGCAAATATTACAAACTTGATATTAAATTACCCAGCGTTCTGGTTAGGAGCCGTTATCAAGAGGCTGCAGTTGAGTGTTGGCTGCAGTGGGAGAGAGTTGCAGTATTCTGATGATGGCTACTGTGCGAACGTTTCAGTTCTTTCAGGATCAATTTTGTTCGTATCCTGTGGGCTGAGTGATGCTTTGTAATGCATCGTTAGTCTGCCACCACCACCGCCATCGTTGGTTCCACAAATGTATTTCGAAAAAGCAGCAGTCCATGGCTCTTTTTAACCACATGATCACACCGTTACCGCCGTCTTAACGTTGCTTGCCTGAGCTAATATTGCGGCTGTCACTAACACTTACTGGCTAGATCCAATGCTTTTGACATCCACATATTGAATTTTTCTGCAGACTCCTTGCACCTTACAACCGTTTGCTTAAACAGTTGCAGACCATAGCGTGTCAACTGTTACACTGTGTTTGCGGTGGTTTTCTCCGATCTAGTCCGAATACAAGTAACGATGTGGTGAATTCGTTGGCATGGACTGCCTGTTACGCAGTGTGGCAGCCAGTCATTTTCCAGGAATGTGTCACACTTGCTGTCGTCTGACTTAGTTTGATAACGCTTTCAGGCCGACATTAGTGACGCCCTGGTCACCGTGGTTGACCTTGTCGCGGGCGCTAGTGATCAGGTGACGGGAAGGATCACCTTCGTGCAGAAGAGTGCCGACTCACCACTCACCATCACTGGTACGGTGCCGACTCACCACTCACCATCACTGGTACGGTGCCGACTCACCACTCACCATCACTGGTACGGTGCCGACTCACCACTCACCATCACTGGTGCGGTGCCGACTCACCACTCACCATCACTGGTACGGTGCCGACTCACCACTCACCATCACTGGTGCGGTGCCGACTCACCACTCACCATCACTGGTACGGTGCCGACTCACCACTCACCATCACTGGTACGGTGCCGACTCACCACTCACCATCACTGGTGCGGTGCCGACTCACCACTCACCATCACTGCACGTGCGACTCACCACTCACCATCACTGGTACGGTGCCGACTCACCACTCACCATCACTGGTACGGTGCCGACTCACCCACTCACCATCACTGGTACGGTGCGACTCACCACTCACCATCACTGGTACGGTGCGACTCACCACTCACCACCACTGGTGCGGTATTGACGCTGATTTCAGGGTGGTGGGGGAGGGAGGCAAGAATAAGTAGGTGTTTTGGGTGTTCTCGATATTCCTCGATATGGGAAGCGGCGGGGTTTCAGTTCGCCATGAACAATATTGAAATTAATCAGAGCTCATATGTTTGTTGCATAACTTGTTTCGTTTCTGTTAACTCGTTGGTCCAATGCATGCATAATTTGTCGAGCTCAACAACGAGAACTCTACCAACACACCAGCATTTGTATCTTGGTACTCAGACAAACCAGTACATTGGCTGCCCCTGCCTCTCGCTACGATAACGTTATTTTATGGAGCGACACCGACCGCCAGCCCCTCATGCCGACAATGACGCTGACCGAGCTGTGTTGACCGCCGCTGACCGGCACCGTGCTGACCGCCGCTGACCGGCGCCGTGCTCATTGCCGCTGATCACCGCTGACCGAGCTGTGCTGACCGCCGCTGACCGAGCGGTGCTGACCGCCGCTGACCGAGCGGTGCTGACCGCCGCTGACCGAGCGGTGCTGACCACCGCTGACCGAGCGGTGCTGACCGCCGCTGACCGAGCGGTGCTGACCGCCGCTGATCGAGCCGTGCTGACCGCCGCTGATCGGCGTCACCAGGTGAGATCTCAGGACTGTCAGCGGGGGCACACGGCTTCCACATCCACGAGCATGGCCGCACCACCGACCAGTGTCGTGACGCCGGCGGCCACTTCAATCCTGCCGGCGTCGACCACGGCTCGCGCACCAGCGCGACGCGGCACGTCGGCGACCTGGGCAACATCGTGGCGGACAGTTCTGGGCTGGCGTTGGTGGACATCACGATACCGGCGCAGAAAACCAGGTGAGGTGACCCAATCTTCGGGCTGCGGCCGCCGATGACGGACGCGCTGATGAAAACCTTCTGCTAGACGGCCGTGAGACGTATCAAGTGATGCTTCGGCTGCAGTGCGCGTAAAGCAAAAGCTTCGATCTCACACAGCCGTCGTCGCTTCAACCCTTCACAATCTCTTGAACTCTGCACATGACTGAAGCCAAGTCAGCATACGTTCGGAGCCATTTTTACATCAGATATGTGATCTGGAGATGCTTTCTCGCAGCATTGCAAGATCACATCACCCAAATCACAAACACTATAAATATCACACAATTGACTCGGCACCGCAGCGAAACCAAAACAACACATCCCAGCCGACGAGAGAGCGGAGGCTGTACCGGTGTAGAAACTCACAGCTGTCATCAGCTCGCTTGCACACACCCCTTAAGGTGTCTTGCTGGTAGACGCAACATATAATTAGAACGTATTATACCATCCTCCTAAGAGCTGTCACGAAGTGCCATTCAGTTATATACATGGGCTTGACTTGTGCCTGACCGTCGCTGTGGTGGTGACCGGCAGCCTGTTCGGAAAGCAGAGCGTGATCGGTCTGGCACTGGTGGTGCACGCCGGCCAGGACGACCTCGGCAGGGGCGGCGACAGCGGCAGCAGGGCCACCGGCAACGCCGGCGGCCGACTGGCCTGCGGCATCATCAAGGTCAGCACCGGCGGACGGCGGACGTCTCCGGGCTGGTCGCTCGGCGAGATGCGGCGAAACAGTGTCATTCAGAGCGTGGCGAAATGAACTCTTGCCAGCCGCAGGTTTTGCTGTTTTTATTCACGTGGATTTGGTCCGAAGAGATTTGCCGAAATCGCTGAGCCTGAGGTGCGACTGAACAGCTTGGTTTAGTATAGGGCCCTTTCGGCCTGTCGTGGATACTTAGATGTAGGGCAGTGAGTAGTTGTGGGAAAAACTACATGCACTTGGGAGCTCTTTGTCGAGACTCAACCCGCAGAGGGATCCCAAAATGAATTCGAACTCGGTGCTCGGACACTCGAGAGAGAACTGTCAAGAGGGGCGGTATGAAGCGTGTCTGAAGGTATTAAAGCAATTTGTGGCCCAAAATAGTGGTGATCGCCAAAGCCATTATCTGTGGCTCAGGTCCGCATCCTCCTTGCTTTGCAGCCTCAATGACGCCACCATAGCCCGGCCTGTCGTTACCAGCCCCCCCCCCCTTGCTCACACTGCCTCCACCCCTGGCCCGCAGCGTGCCTATGACGCCAGCACGGGCCCGGCCTTCTGCGCGGACAACCAAGTGACGAATGTGCGCTGCCGGACGGCCGGCACGCACCTGGGCCTCGCCGAGACGGGCGAGGACGCCAGCTGCACTGTGCAGGAGGGCCTCGTCTGCCACTCTGACTACACCTGCCAGGACTACGAGTTGCAGGTGTTCTGCGACTGCAGTGAGTGCCAGTGGGACGTGATGGACGGAGCGCTCTTGCTCCCCGCAGGGTATTTTTGGGGAGGGAGTGGCCTGCGCGTTTCGGCAGAAAGCTTGGCCTGTCTGGCGTGGCGCTCTGGTCAAGCTTAGGTCCTGATCTTAGGTCTTAGGTTACAGGTTTGGCTTAGTTTAGGTTTGGGTTTAACTGTCTGGTCCTGCTATCCTCCCCGGCTGTGTCCGGTGTGATCGATACTGGTGTGCAAGAGTGACAATGAGGAGTTCTGCCGGACAGACATTCGTGCCTTTCACTTTAATAGAGCAACATCGCTTCAAAAATGGGCACGCCCTTTAAAAGAGTCCAGCATCAGCTAGCCTTTAGTTACAGGATCTCTACCGCTGTCTACCGCCGTCTGCCTGAAGACACTAACCTAACCGTGTTATGTGCAGCTATTGAGCCGACGGAGGCGCCGCCGCCCGAGCCGTCGAAGCCCACCGCCCCGCCGACCCCCTGCGACTCCGATGCCTGGACGCCCTGGATGAGTTCACACACGCCAGGCCCGGGAAACTGGGTCAGTGAAGGTCGCGGCCGCAGGCCCGCCTGAGAACGTCCGTACCGTGCAGCTGCTCTCGTCGTGAGGCTGTGCCCAGTTAAACTATTGCTGCTTTCGGTTTGGACGCCAGAACTTTCACAGGGACGCCGTCTGCAGCTGTCACGAACTACGAACTGTTACGTTGTGTTGTAATTGTTCACAAGGATCCAAAGATATCCATTTTAAGAGCTGAATCACTTTGTCTTCTGATGGTACCACATGTATGGGGTGAGACAGACTCGTGGAGTGAGATAGGTAGACTCGAGGGTGAGATAGGTCCACCCCTCGCGGACATCCGTGGAGTGGGATAGGTAGACCCGAGGGTGAGATAGGCCCACCCCTCGCGGACATCCGTGGAGTGAGATAGGTAGACCCGAGGGTGAGATAGGCCCACCTATCGCGGACATCCGTTGCGCACGCCCTGCTCACGAGAATCAGTGTCAGTCCCCCGCGCTGAACTTTTCCCTGACCTGGCCTGAACTTTCCCTGACTGGATCCTGGCGCTCTGTGCAGGTCGACATCGAAGACCGCCAGACGCTGCGCGAGCAGCACTCGTTCTGCGCGGACGAGTACATCACGGCGCTCGAATGCCGCACCAAACTGGGTCAGAAGGATGTCACGCAGGTGGGCGGCGGCGCCGTCTGCGACCTGAACCACGGCCTCGTCTGCTCGGACGCCCTCGGCTGTGAGTCTGTCGCCGCCGCCAGGGGACTCCCGCCCTGGGAGAGGCCCCGGCCCTGGTGGAGGCCCCGGCCGACCCGGGGCCCGGGCACGCCGGCGGATGGCGCTTGCGCTGTTACGGTGCGCGCACGGCCAAGGAGAGTCTCGCGTTGCATTGCTGCTATTTCCGCTCTCCGGCTGTGATGCAATGCCCTCGTCGCCACACAGCCCAATGCAGCTCACGATTTTGTGTGAGAGATATTGAAGTTGGACCTGATCGTCACATAAAACGGCACACACGGGAACAAATGTGCCACCAGTGTTCGTGACAGGGATCCGCACTTGGATGGGTTCGTTTTTGTGCTGCTTGGTACAGCAGTCAACATCCCAAGGTGGGAAAATAAGGTTCGAGAAACGCTCATAATCCCCTTTTGCAGATTGCGACGATTTTGAAGTGAGGTTCTTCTGTAACTGTGAGGAGCAAGTGATCGTCCCGCCAACAAGACCTACAGATACGGCGACCCCTTGTTCTGGCGTGCAGCCATTGACCGAGCATGAGAGTGACTGCGGCAAGTTCTACCACTGTGTGCCCGGCCAGGGCAAGGTCAGTGACCTGTCAACGTCGGGCTCTTTTCATTCACGAAATAACGTATGCGGGCGCCGGAAAGTGCCAGTGGGTAACAAAGCTGCACCATCACTGCAGTATCTCCGGGCCCTAGTTAGCATGATAGGCGGCGGGGGATCCGTTGGTGATCCGTGAGTGATATCAACCGCAAAAGTTATTTCTATGCGCAAAGGGAATCACTAATTGAAATCCGCGTCACTTGCTCTCAGATGCTAATTTCGATACTTGTAAAAAATTTTCAATGGAACACCAGTGTCTGATTCGCTACCCGGGTTAGCGCCCTTCTGGCCAGTTATTGTCATTTCAGGGCTAAGGGATGCAGACAAGTGCATAACGAGGAGGTGGGGCAAAGCTATAAGCACGTGGGGGTCCATCCGTTGGACTTAGCTCGCACAGGTACCCTCTTCGGGGTTTGTGCTCACTCGGACAGGATAGGTGACCACCAGAGGGCACGTGGGCCCACTCACAGATAGTGCGTACAGCCGGCCCCGGACAAACGAGCCGGCGTAAGAAGGCAGGATGAAGCAAGAATGGGCAAATAAGAACGGTTACCCATGCCTGAACGTCGCTTCTTGCTTGGATTTGGTGTCCCGAAGGTTTTCACGCGGCGTTCTTCTGATCGCCGTCCTGCGTCGTCCCGTCAGGTGGAAAAGACATGTGGGCCAGGCCTTATGTTCAACCCGCGCATCGGCTCGTGCGACTTCTCGGCGAACGTAATCAAGGCGCGGCCCTCCTGCGGCCCCCCGGACGAGGTCGTCACCACCGAGCAGCCAGCCGTGCACTGCAGCGATATCCACCCACTGCGCGCGCACCCTACCGACTGCCACCAGTACTACCAATGTGTGCGCACGGCCAACGATGAGCTACAGGAGGTGGGTACAACTGCGAGAGGCAATTGGAGACGCGGGCTGTGAGTGACGAGAGCCGGTTTGACTGAAGGTGGCGGACTTTGGTCATGCGTGTAGCAGCAAATAAATGTGCACGAGCCTTTGAGCACACCAGTGTTTCAGGGGGGGGGGGGGGGAGACTGCTATAACTATAAATAGACATGCGATTCTGGCCACCAGTCTTTTACCTGTCTTCTCTTTTGTGATTCTCAAACACCCTTGCCCTCCCGCATGGTCTAGCTCCTGCCCATGAATTGTGCCCGGGGCCCTGGGGAGGCCTCTGCCCCACGCCTCTAACGGCCTGGTTCTCGGTGCCGCAGTACCTGCGCTCCTGCGGGCCGGACATGATGTACAACCCGGACTCGATGACGTGCGACTCGCTGTTCAACGTGCTGGCCCTGCGGCCCGAGTGTGAGGAGGTGGTCGAGGCCACCCCGACGCCGCCGGAGGTCACCACCCCCACCCCGGAACGACGTACGTGCTCAACTTCGTCGCCGTCCTCTGGCCCGTGCCGATGTAGCCGGCTCACACTTGGCTGTATTTGGCAGTGCTGTGAGCGTCGCGGCGTGTGCCAATGGGCCACGCGGGTTAGTTATTACGGATGCTGTGCCGCAAGGCTTCCAAGCACTGCGGGACAGCACGCGACTGCCCAAAGGTGGCTCGCTGTCCAATAACTGCCGTATCAATGCACGATACACCGCGCACGGATTCGGATAACGTTAGGGCTACGCGTGATTTTAAATCGATGTGACACGATGCCCTTGCTAAACGGTTTATAACATTTTTAGCTGTTTCCGGTCTATATTACTGTCCGCGTTATGATTCACGCTTCGTTGGATTTGAATGTGATGACGCAGGACGGTCAGCAATGGTCTGTCGTTTTAGGTGAGACATGTATCAGACCGTAGTGACTACAGCTGGATTTACCATTTATTCAAACGAGATCTTGAGCATGGCCAAACACTGCTGCGTAATAAAGCAGCTTGCACAGTTAGGCATGCTAGACACTCACAGTCAGCTATGGGGGCGGTGGACTGTATAAACAGTTAAATTCAGTCGAACGGTTTACTTGCACATGTATCAGTTTCCCCCATGCTCACATAAGCCATATGCCCTAACACGTGGCGATCCGTGAAAATCAGAAGCCTTCAAATCATCATCAGTGCGTAGCAGATTCACTTCGGTACCAGTCACCGCGCACATGCAGCTTCTCTGACCTTTACTGGCAACTGGCCACGACAACCAGTCTGAAACAGTAGCGGCCGTACCACGTTACAGATCCTCCGCCACAATTGTCCGCTGCACTGGATTTGCTCTTCTGGGTTAGGCAGGGTCGGAGTCTGCAATAGACTGCACTTGGCACTGACTTTGACTTTAGGCCACCCCCGAGAGCACACGGCCCAGTTCTCACACAAATCCCATTGCACGGTGGTGACGTCGGCGATAGCGAGCAGGTGTGCCTGCGACAGCAGCGTTGTCGGCCCACCGGGGGACGAGTGTGTGTGTGTGTGGGGAGGGAGAGGGGATGTGAGGGAGGGGGAGGTCTGTCAGCATGAGACCAGGTCATTCGTGTCCGCAGTGTGCCCGCTCGGCCAGAGGTACGACGAACTGCAGGATTCGCTGTGACCAGCTCTGCCACTACTTCAGCGGCTTCCTTCAGTCCCGCGGTTTCTGCCAGGTGCGGCATCGGTCTGAACGCGAATATGTCCTCGGCTTATTCAGGCAACATGGAAGTGTGACCGTGCATGACATAGTCGCCCAGTATCTCGGGTTACATTCCAGTCTCTGGTTTGACGGAGATGTTGTAAATATTTCGCACTGGTGGTTTTCTTTTCATCCGTTTTTTGCCGTAGAGCAGAGGCTTTCTTCCGTGCCCATGACAAAATACGTGCACTCTGATATGGCACGAAACAATCACGTTCGAACCCTCATCCTGTTAATTCAACACAAGCTCCTCGAAAAGTTCTGTATCCTCTATCAACCATGTGTCTCTTTCATCTTGAGTGACGCCGTGAAAGACGCGCTTGCACTTTTCAGGTGCGGGACGCTTGCAAGCCCGGATGTGTGGAGGATACGGTCGGTTATCGCGGCTGCCCGCCCGACTTCGTCTGGAGGGATGAGGACAACTGTGTGCGCATCACAGACTGCAACTGCCGCCTGCCCAACGGCAAACCTCTGGCGGTAAGACTGCGTTGACGTCACGTGACCAAGGGCAAACTGCTAGGCTGACACCGCTTGTCTGCCTTGCCCAAATCACCGTCATCAGTGAATCAGTGGAACGTTCGTTGCCCCGATGCTGCATGCCGCAGCTGATACGAGCCGGGCTTCACTGCAGCGCAGACGTGGTGAGCGGTCGGCAGTGGCCGACTGCCCGCGAGGTTACCGGGACTGCCCGCCGGGCAGGGGCAGTCCCTGCCCGGCGGCCGGCTGGCGGCAGTCGGCAGGGGTCACTGACGCCCGTCTGCCTCGCCTCCTTAGGCGGGCCAGGTGATCGTCGAGGACGATGGCTGCACCCGGGTGCAGTGTGTCAACAACGAGGTCATCTACGAGACGAGCGACTGCCGACCGGTGACGGAGCCACCCAGGGTTCTCGGTAAGGCGTCAAACACTCCAGGAGTGTGGCTTATCTTAAACCCCCAGAGGCCACTGTTGCACATATGTTTCATCTGTGCAGACTTCGCGGCACTGAGCCATCCCAGCCAATCACCAAAAGGCGAAGGCTACAGGTGGTCTGGATGATCGAGGCGAAAAAGAGATATATGCTATGTATCTATGTATTTATCTATGTATCTATGTATCTATGTATATATGCTACGAGTGCGCTAAATCGTCGGCAGATTTCACTAGCATCGCAGAATATATAATGCCCCTCCTTCTCTGTTAAATACGTAAAGGCGAGAACCCAAACGGACGCCAGCACATTCAACAACACAACGACGATGGCGTATACACCGACATGACATGCGTGCGCCCCCTGTCCCTGCAGACTGTGACCGTTGGGGCGAATGGATCGACCAGACCGACCCCAACGTTGGAATGTACGAAGTGGAGATGCTTCCTTGGTGGGGAGACTTCTGTCAGGGCGTAAGTCGCCGTTTCATTTTACGGTGGTGTAACTAGAAAGACCGTGCCTAGGTGCGGTTATGCAAGTAGCGCTTGAAAAGTGGTCGTTAAGGTAGCCAAGAGCGTGCTAGAAATCAGACCTCAGGATCCTGCTTATGTTTTACATGATATCAACATCTTTACTCTGACAGTTTGGTTACAGTCAATTTGAAATTCGTGATATGCTTTGTTGGCCCCAGCATCTTTGGAATATTTTGTGCTTCGTATCTTGGCAAAATGTACATCTATCAGGTTTTCATACACAGTTGTGCTACTAGCATCGTAGTTTGGTGTCGTACCTCGACACTACCACTGCCTGTGCATGCTCGGTCAGCCTTCAGCAGCATGCCACTGGCTCTGTCCCTGCCGTCGCTGTCTCTGTCCTGACCTTTGCCCGCCCCGCTGGAGCCGCCCCGACCTGGCCTCGGCCCGCATGCTAGAGCCGCACTTGACCTGGCCTCTGCCCGCCCTGCTGGAGCCACCCCTGACCTGGCCTGTGCCCGCCATGCTAGAACCGCCCCTGACCTGGCCTCTGCCCGCCCTGCTGGAACCGCACTTGACCTGGCCTCTGCCAGCCCTGCTGGAGCCGCCCCTGATCTGGCCTCGGCCCGCCCTGCTGGACCCGCACTTGACCTGGCCTCTGCCCGCCCTGCTGGAGCCACCCCTGACCTGGCCTCTGCCCGCCCGCTGGAGCCGCCCCTGACCTGGCCTCTGCCCGCCCTGCTGGAGCCACCCCTGACCCGGCCTCGGCCCGCCCGCTGGAGCCGCCCCTGACCTGGTGGCGGCCATGACCCGACCCGGGCGCGCCGCGGTCGGCAGGCCCACCTGAGCCAGATCGAGTGTCAGCTGAGTGACACGAGCATGCCGTACGACACGTCCGATGACGTCGGCGTCACCTGTGACGTCAAGAGTGGCCTGACGTGCCGTAACGCCGCTCAGCCGGACGGCCGCTGTCACAACTACCGCGTCAGATACTTCTGCTCCTGCGGTACGTCCAGATGCAGCGCACGTCACAAACTACCCCCCCCCCTCCCACCCTCCACCTCCCGAGAGCGGTGCGTCGCGTAACTGGTGGGCCACGTAGTCATAAACCTGATAAAATATATGATGAGGATGATGACTTGGGGTTTTGGGACGCATCGACTGCTGTAGGTCGTTCAGCGCCGTGTGATGAAACATATTAGACGCACGTATTAAAGTACGCAAAGTTATGTTCATCCAACGTTCGGATGCATGTTTCTAGCCCAATGGAGATAGCAACCGGTGTATTAAAGCCAGCACTAAACCATTTCCGCACTCAACGTGATCGGAGGGTACATGTCTTCGACAGCGGTTCCGTTTTCGTGTTCCAGATGCTCCGCCCACCGAGGCGCCATCCACTCCGGAACCGACCACAACCACTCCCGGGCCGACCACCGAACGTGAGTGCAGCAGGTCTACCGCATCTGGTGGTTTTTGACTCTCATGTATTGTCTGATCACACATGACAATGGCAATAATCTCCATTTATAGTGCCAGCCTATAAGGACATTAGCTGTGCGTTTATATTCCATGCATTTCGTACCTTACCGCTTTGAAGTTAGAATGATCATCACTGTTTTAATGCACCAACATGGTTATTACCGCAAATTTTGAAGGTTGTGTTGACTATGTTAGTAAGCACCTGTTCTGTTCTGCTTTTCTTCACCTATTCATGGAATTACATTTCAATTAAATTAACTTAAATCAAATTAAGTTTCCAGCTCCATGCTTCCGTATTTAAGTGCGTGCACACATCAAAGATCTCGCTCTTGCTCTACACCTGTGATTGATGTTATAATTTAAGCTGTTTGATAAATACCTGCCTCCACCACATAAGTGCCGATCTGGCTGTGTCAACAGCGCCCCAGACGTGGCCACCCGTCATCCCGCCGGAGGAGTGCGACGTTGAGAGGTCAGTACCCACGCCCGTTCCGAATCGGTTCGGCCCGAACCTCCGGATCTGCTGAGCCCCTGTGAATAGTTACCCGGAAGGAGGGTAGGACAACGAAACGGGTAGAAGGGTAGAATGGACATCGCCTTAGCATATGCAGCGGATGTTAGGCCTCGCATGAGTCAGTTCTTTTGTCATTTTCAGGCGAAGAACCCATACTGTTCAAACCTCTTCTGTGATTAACACTGCAGCCATTGGTGCATTTGCTGGCACGCGACTCCTCTCCCTCCCTCCCCCCTCCGCAAAAGTGTATCTGTGCAGCCAGTCAATTGATTTCAGTTTTGGGCACTGTGATCGCAGCTCCAACGTTTGCACCGGAGAACATGTTTATTGACCTTTGGGCCATCGATCAGTCACTTGCCAGGTCAAATAAATGCATTTTCTGACTTTGAAATCACACATCTTTGCCAAAATTGGTGCGTTTGAGAGCTATAAAACATAACCAATGTACAACTGAGTGCAGCCAACTGCCAAATTGCATACTCTAGGCTAGTATCGTATTTTGTTCAAGAAAGGTCACACCAGGTTACAAGGACTAATTACGGTCTTGGTGCATGATGTGAAATATTTAGTGTTGTCCTGTTATATTAACATAATGATCTCGAACCAGCGTCTAAAACATTTCACTTTCAAAGAGAATGAATGCATTTCACCAGAGCACAGTACCATTGTCTAATGAATTGGCTGCCTGCGTGCCAGCATGACCTAGATGAGGCTAAATGTTGTAAACCTACTTTGGGATGGTCAATGGCATCACCCTAACACAACTATAATAGCAAATTTGGAAAATGACATCATCGATCAAACTAGCTGTCATGACATGGGCTAAACCATGACCATAACCATGAGTACAGCCTTTGGTCTTTCTTTCCTGACATGACCCACATTAGGCCTTGACGTGAATGTACTAAAAGCCACAGACCAACCTCTCATGTCCGCTCTCACGGCAGGACAGACAAAGCATTGCTGGTCATTCGTCGATCTACGTTTCGCCTTCCGCATCATCAGAAGCAGGCTTTCCGGTTCCGGTCATAACCCCCGGGCCCTCTCCCAGGTACTTGTTTTAGCAATGCCGTCCCTTGTCTTCCGTCGCCTGCTGGCCATCAGCCTGCCTTCTCCGCCGTTCATTCCTTCGTGTTCTCCGTGCCTCGTGCCTTCGTCCCTTGCAGCTGTTGGGGGCCGACCTCAGGCGGCTCTCAGTGGTCTGTTCCTCACCAGTGCGGGCTCCCTCGGCCGCAGGTTCGTGCCGCTCGTGAATGGTGATGAGCCACTGCCAGACTCCAGCTTTTCATCCTCTTCTACGGCGGGGCCGGAGGGGAGACCCTCCAACGCCAGGATCACCGAACAGCCCCAAGATGGTAAGACGGCTTCCGGTCGGGGTGGCATCGTCTAGTTGGGCAAGGTTTCAGGCATTGGGACTGCAAACACATCTTTTCTGAGTCAGATCTGAAGAACATTGTGCCGTGCTGTCCTGATGCGCTGCATATCCTTTCACCGGAATTTTCTGTGGACAACAATATTTCCGTGAAGTTTTGGCGTTAACACGAACCAAATGGGAGGCGTGTGACACCTGACGTTGTAAGTTTCTTGCGCATCTTATGCCATTACCTCATGGTAGAGCACAAAAGCAATGACCATATTTCTGGCATGTATGTGCGCGTGTGATGTATTGGATTGAAAGTCTAGCTTTGTGAATAGTGATCTTTTGATTGCTCGAAGGACAACAAAAGTTGGAAGATTTCTCGAAAGGTCAGTTCCTCTAAGCGATGCGTGTTTGTGTTAATGTAGAACAGATTTTTAAAACTTGTCAAGGTAGCCATACATATATAACATGTCCCACGCTGGGCACACACACGCTGAGCGTTAGCCATCTCCATCGTAGCGTTTCACCACCATCGTGTCCGTTTTGTGCATATGTGCTTGCTTGTTGTTCCGAGGCTGTATCAACACTGTGTCTCGTTTTAATCGCAGCTTAACCTCCGTTACATCATGACCTGTGCACGGACAGCCATCGGGTTGACCCCTCCCTTCAGGACTGGACGTCAAATCTGCCGCGCCGATGACGTGGTTGGCCCGAGCCGCTCGTCACCCTCGCACCCCGACCCTCCTCCCCTCTCCACAGCGGCCCGCTTCTGGCTGCCGGCCTCCGACAACCAGGAGCAGTACCTTCAGGTGGACCTCGGCTCCGAGCAGCCCGTCTACGCTGTCAAGCTGGCCGGCAGCAAACTGCTCAAGTCGGCCGTGGTCGCCTTCGAGCTGTGGTTCAGAGCCGAAGACGGCGAGCTGCGGCCGCTGACGGACGCGCAGGGGCACCCCCAGGTGAGCGGAGAGAGGAGGGGGCTGGCCGTCCCGGGCGCAACGAGGCTTGTGGTGTGTGCTGCTATCTGTGCGCGGAGCGTTGTCGGACCGATAGAGGACAGTGGGCCTGTCCCATGTTTCTCTTGATTACATTCATTCGAAACCTTGGAATTGTCCGTTCGTTTTGAGACAAACGGCTTAGCGCGACTGCCTATCAGCGAAATGCTCCCCGGTGGTACGTCCCCTTAAGACACTGCCTTGGCACTGCAAAGGAGGTGCAATCAAAAGTCTGCGATATCTGCTCTTCCTATTCACCTGCGTTTATAACGACATTATCTCCGAACGGGATTCTCTCGTGAGCTGAAGCCACTCTGGCCGCGCAGCATCGCACTGCCACCTGATCACCCCCCCCCCCCCCCCCCACTCCCTGCAGGAGCTGACTTCCATCTCGCCCCTGAACGAGGCGGCGCCCGTCATCCTACCGACGCCGATGACGGCGCGTTATGTGCGGCTAGTGCCACGCAGCTGGCAGCAGCGCATCGCAGTCAAGCTGGAGGTGTACGGCTGCGGTGTCGCCACACTGCCGCCGACCACCACACCTCTTCCCGTCACCGTCTCCACGGTGGAGCCACCACCGCACTGCGATGAGGAACAGTCAGTGCGACGACGGGGGGGGGGGGGGGGGAGGGCGCTGACCCGCCGCGGTGTATGGCATCGTGTGTAATCATTTAGTGGACGCATATCTGTTGACGAGCAATCGGACTTACAATCGATTGTCGGATGACGTTTGTTGAAGGATTGAACGTTATCGTCACAATTTCAGATCAGCTGAGCAACGTTGCAGGATTCATAATGTCAGCTTCTGATACTGGCAGCTTCCCGTTTCTCTGTTGACGTTTTTGACGTCCGACAGGTACGTTCGCCTTCTGAACGGTAACCAGCCCCTGCCGGACAGCAGCATCACTGCTTCCTCCATCGTCAGCCCCGAGATGGCGGCACGTTACGCCAAGATCCGTGCCAAGCCCGATGACAGTGAGTGACTGATCCCATAAGGGCATCGTGGTCGACTGATGTGCCCGTTGTTTGCGCATGTCCTTTAATATCCCCAGGTGAATCCAAAAGTCCATAGGTCCAAAAGGACGAACATCATCTCTGTGCTTTTGGACTCACAATTATTGCTGGTGATGGTGATCACTCAAATTGGTTGTGGTAAACATTATAATGGTTGAACTTACAGACACTTCCGCAATGCAGCTCTAAATGCACATTTTAGATCATTGGTACACAGCTGTGGTCACCACTCAAAATCTTTACAGATTACATTGCACGACATCAAATGTGCCCCGAATATAACTAGTTCATAACACAGTCGTTGTATGAAAGCATGCCGTGGTTGGCAGCGCCTTGGTCGTGTTCCAGAGCTGCGGTCGTGGGTGGCGAAGAGCAGCGACCAGAACCAGTTCCTACAGGTGGACCTGGGCAGCGTACAGCCCGTCTATGCCCTGATCGTTCGTGGCAACAAGGCCGTTTCCTCCAGCGTCACCGAGTTTGAGCTGCTCTACAGCTTGGACGGGAAGGTCTACAGCTACGCCGTCAACCAGATGTCGCAGCCGGCGGTCAGTGCCTGATGCCATCCAACGCATCTTGTTCCGGTGGCTCCGCAGGTTATCGCGCACAAACTGTCGCATATGGCTGCAGCTGTGCTGATGCACGTGATGGGCTTTGAACTCGAGACTCGCTACAGATATATGCCATACGAGCACTTTAAACTCGAGACCCGCTACAGATATATGCCATACGAGCACTTTAAACTCGAGACTCGGTACAGATACATGCCGTACGATCACTTTAAAATCGAGACTCGGTACAGATATATGCCATACGAGCACTTTTCGTTCCGGGTGCGCTCCAGCTGTTTTTACCGCTAGCGTTCCCGTCATCGCTTTTGTTTTCTTGACCCCTGATGCTTGCCCCTGGCTGATGACTGACTGCGGTTGCCTTGGCTCCGTCCATCGGCGGGCCCAGCTCCGTCCGTCGGCGGGCCCAGCCCCGTCCGTCGGCGGGCCCAGCTCCGTCCGTCGGCGGCCCAGCTCCGTCCGTCGGCGGGCCCAGCTCCGTCCGTCGGCGGGCCCAGCTCCGTCCGTCGGCGGGCCCAGCTCCGTCCGTCGGCGGGCCCAGCTCCGCCGTCGGCGGCCCAGCTCCGTCCGTCCATGGCCGTGTCCGCTGCACCTGACTGCACTGCGTCTGACGGCGCGCCGTGACCGGCAGAGGCTCGTGGCGGCCGACCCGTTGGGCGAGGAGCCGGGCCGGGTCACGCTGCCGGTGCCGGTGGAGGGACGCTACCTGCGGCTGCACCCGCTCGACTGGCACTTGCGGATCGCGCTCAAGCTCGAGCTGTTCGGCTGCAGCCGCGCCACGACGCCGCCGCCCACCGAGCCAACGCCTCCGCCGCGCTGCATGGAGCCCATGGGCATCGAGAACGGCCTGCTGCACAACTCACTGGTCCAGGTACGCCCGATTCAAGTACCGGCAGGTGGGCCGGCTTCAGGTACCGGCAGGAAGACCGGTACCTGAAGATCGTGCGCGGTAAGAGTTGTGAGCAGGCGAACTCTGCTCGCTGATCCAGGTGCACCCGCCGAGGACCTGCAAGTCGGGCACGGTGAGACCTGTCCTCGTCCATGTGAACGGCGCCGGCGGCAATGTTTAAAGACATGCCTGTAATGCACGAATGCTTTGCACGGCTTAGATGGGTAGTTTTGGACCCGGAACCTTTGCTAGCGGCGCGTGCCGCGTATAGCCTGAACCCACCTTTTAAGTTGCGCTGGTCCAGCCCGTCGGATGCCTTTTCCCTGGCATCCTTGTCAGACCGGACTTAACCGGTTTACTAGGCGTGCATTTAGCACTGTGCGCTGACCGACCAGTTAGACCCTGTTTGACCGTTGACAGCTATCATTTGCATGCCAGTGGGCTTACACAGTGTCCCCGCGTCGCCGCTCTCTGATTCACACTCACTGACGTTGTTGTGCCGGGACAGCATTATCCCCATATAAATGAGCTGGGTCTTGGGAGTCGGCAAACATATCGTCTTGATAGCGGCTTATGCAGCGATGCACACCCCCATTTAGCAGTCATCTCAATTTGCGCGGGTACATGGAAGTCCGGAGCGGATTAAATGACGTCACCATCCGGCGCGCTTGTAACGCCTGTCATGCTCATCGATTTGATCCCGCGTTGTGTTGATCCTCAGGTGTCGTCACAAATCTCCGAAGATCACGGTGCATCTGCGGTGAGACCGGGATCCGCCGGCTGGATTCCGAAACAGTCCAACAACAAACAGTTCATCAGGGTAAGCCACCCGTGGGTGTAAATACGACATTGTGGGCATGGGCGGTGTTGTGCCCGCAACAACAGTTCGCACAGGGGAATTTGTCGGGCCATTGCAGCTCAGTATCATATTGGGAATCGTGTGTCCCCACTATACCAATACAACTGGCGATGTTGTTCCACTGCCGATAACAGAGAAAAACTACCTGGTTGCCTGCCCCACCATAATCAAGTCGCGCACTGGCCATTCCCTACCTCGGCCTTCTGTCTCTCTCGTGTGAGGCGGCGGTGCTCCGTCCGCCCCTGCGCTCCGCCTCAGACGCTCTCCCTGGCGACAGATCAACTTCAGTGACGAGCGCGTGCTGGACGCCGTCATCACCACCGGCGTGCTGGTGAAGGGCGAGCCGGTGCCCGGCTACCCGGGCACCCTGCAGCCCGACCAGACGCGCTACATCGGCTCGTACCGCGTGCGGTACTCCCAGGACGGCATCAACTGGATCTGGGTGTACAACAAGAGCGGGCGGGTGAAGGTGTTCCCCGGCCACACGGAGGTGGGTGGCGCTGGGGCAAGCGGCAGCGGTCGGTTGGTTCGACATGACGGGCCTTCTGAAGCCGGCGTACTTGGAACTGCGATGTTGGGCGACATAGATAGCCGGCGTTATTAGACAAGGACCACAGGCCTTTGACGTGCTAACTCGTGACGAAACCCGAGCCTAAGTTACAGATGGAGCGTTTCATGCATTCTCTGAGCGCAAAAATATTTGCATCGCTTACGTTTCAACGTGTGACGAGCTGCCTTCGGGGCAGTGCGTGCTTCCTAACCGTTGCCTCCTCGTCCTGACGAGGTAGACAGCTCTGGTTCTCAGACGGTATGTGCCCTCTGGCCCTTGCCTCATTGCCCTGACGCGACAGGCGGTCCTGGTTGTCAGACGGTGTTTGCTCCGTGGCCCTTGTCTCCTCGCCCTGACGCGGCAGAAGGCCCTGGTCCTCAGACGACGTGTGCTCCATGGCCCTTGCCTCCTTGCCCGGACGCGGCAGAGGGCCCTGGTTCTCAGACGGTGGGCACTCCGTGGCCCTTGTCTCCTCGCCCTGACGCGGCACACGGCCCTGGTTCTCGGACGACGTGTGCTTCATGACCCTCGCCTCCTTGCCCGGACGCGGCAGAGGGCCCTGGTTCTCAGACGGTGGGTACTCCGTGGCCCTTGTCTCTTCGCCCTGACGCGGCAGAGGGCCCTGGTTCTCAAACGGTGGGTACTCCGTGGCCCTTGTCTCCTCGCCCTGACGCGGCACACGGCCGGGTTCTCAGAGGACGGCGCTTAAGCCTATGCAGAATGTATTCGACCAGCCGGTGAACGCCCAGTACATAGAGATAATGCCCGAGACATGGTCGGACGACGGCATCGGCTCCAAGCTAGAGATCCTCGGATGCTACCACCCATACCGTGAGTAACACGCCACTGCAAAGGCTCGGCTCCAGCTCCACAACGACACCAGCGCGCTTGGCCTGTAATATGTTTGACACGCTCACACGGTGTGACTAGTTCAGCCCCTCTGACGGTCTCGAACAGCTCTTAGATATTCATCAGCGGTGATAGCATAAGGCTCAGTCCGTCAGTGTGACCTCCGTAGCCCTGGACGTTGTCCCAGCGTCCCGCGCGGTGGCCGGACGCGCAAGCCGCCCGTGCAGCGTGGCTGACGGCTGGCCCGCCCCCAGCCGAGGTCACGACCACGACCGAGGGGCCGGAGCCGATCCGCGAGTGCCAGGCCTGCGACGACCTGCCGCTCTCCGAGATGGCCGGCTGCGAGCAGTGCGAAGCCGACACCTGGTGGAACGGCACGGCCTGCCTGGACGGGCCCACGCTCTGTCCCTGCTTCTACAACGGCCGCGCGTGAGTGGGGCTCGGCGTGGCGATCGGGCAGCCTCGCGGCGAGGCGCGGCGCTGCGCGGCGCGGCGTGGCGCAGCACATGGCGCAGCAGACCCGCACACCACTGTTGAACACACACCAGGCATGTGTAGTACACGCCCGAGGCAGGGACGTAGTTCCACAAAATGTGTCTAGGGGTGGGGGGGGGGGGGGGGGGGGGGGGAGGGGTCTGGTCAGTGAATAAGCCTCCACGCCCAAACACGCTAGAATATCACTCCCGGATTTGACCCACTGTCGTCTCATCGTTGGAGGAGGGGGGAGGGGGTGCTGAAGCCCAGTTGGGTCTGGGTCCCTCCAACTGAATAGTAAAACTACACCCTAGCCCCAGTTAAATTGTCAATAGCATGTGCATCGCAGTGTGGAGTTTGACGCGTCGTCTTTCCCCGATGCGCCGCAATGACCCCATCTCGTCGTTTGCGTTTAGTCTCGCTAGGTGGGCTGCTGCAAATATCCAGTCGCCTCCAGCCCGCTCCCCATGCGCGCAGGTACGAGGTGAGCTCGGTCTTCGACCTGACCGACTGCCAGGAGTGTATCTGCAAGTTGAGGGGCGAACGGGTGTGCGAGCGCAAGACCTGCCCGCCGTGTGGAGGCGATCTGGTGGCGCACCTCTCCGACAGTTGCGACTGCCAGTGCAACCCATGCGAGGAGGGTGAGTCCGTCACCCAGATCCGTACCTCTCCACGAATCCGTCACCCAGAGCCGTACCTCTCCACGAGTCCGTCACCCAGAGCCGTACCTCTCCGCGAGTCCGTCACCCAGAGCCGTACCTCTCCGCGAGTCCGTCACCCAGAGCCGTACCTCTTCGCGAGTCCGCCACCCAGAGCCGTACCTCTCCACGAGTCCGTCACCCAGAGCCGTACCTTTCCACGAGTCCGTCACCCATAGCCGTACCTTTCCACGAGGGGGTTGGCGGGAAGTTGGTCAATGGCTGTGGGGAAGTCTCGAGCCCACGATGAAGATATCTGTTTGGTCTGCTGGCCCATGGTGTTGGGATCTTCCCAGATTTTTCCAGCTTTGCGAAAATGTTTCAAAATGTTGATTGCAGGACAAATTGAAAGAAGGTGACACCAACGTAAATTGGCCGACAACGCGCAGCTTAGCTGGACAGTATGATCAAAAGAGTGTCAAGTCTCTGAGCCTTCGTTTCTCGTGCTACCTTTTCCAGCCGATAGCACCAGCCCTCTGGTCCACAGCGGGGCTGCCAATAACCGCCTTGCGTCGTCTGTGTCTGCAGGCACGCGCATCTGTCCCACGAGCCGCACCTGCCTCGAGGAGGAGAAGTGGTGTGACGGTGTGAAGCAGTGCCCCGACGACGAGGGTGACGAGTGTCGGGAGCCAGAGGCGACTGAGCCGCCGCCGGAGCCTACCCAGCCACCCATCCTGCCGCAGTACTGCACGCTCAAGGGCAACACCTTCAACACGTTCGACGACGTCGAGTACAAGTACCAGATCTGCCACCACACACTGCTCAAGGAGGAGGGTCTCTGGGAGGTGACGGGTGAGTGACTAGCCTGGGGCGGCCGACGAGCACCTCTATGCCAGGTGCTCACTCACTGCAGAGCTCCTCCAACTGACCTGGGTTAACAAAACGCTTCCGACCCCAAAACATGACGTTTGCTTGTTGGTGGCATAATTTATATCTGCTGAATATGATACGAGAATGTGTTAACTATGCTGCCATGCACGAAAGCTATGAGAAATGCAGTCCCTGTATGTTTTCTCACAAGAGTAATCTCAGATCTGATCATGGCATAATTGTCGCAAAATATTGACCTGAGGGCTTAATACATCACATACACTGTCATGAACTTGCACTTGAAGAATTCCCTTTTCCAAATGATGAATTCACGCATGCCATAGGCCTGTGTGCGCACCGTTCACTGCAGAGGGAAATCTACATTTTCACGTACGTAAATGAATAGACGCATGTTGCATCCTATGCTCGCCGGCTGGTGAGGTCTTCATTTTCCCGCATCGAAGTGGGTAGGCAAAGCCGCTGAACGCTGGGAGCCTGTGCCGCCTCCCTGAGAGAGGTCTGAGTGCGTCCCGTCCCGCCGCAGTGCACAGGGAGTGTGCTGGCACCGAGTGCCGGCGCGTGGTTCGGATCACCACGCTGGGAGAGCTGGTCACTATCGTGCCTGGCGCTGGCGTCGAGTATGGCGGCTTCACCTACAGCCTGAAGCAGGCGAGCGCGCTGCGCTCCAAGGTCAACACATTCAAGATCTCCACCACCGGCTCCACCATTCTCTTCAACGCGCCGGACATTGGCTTCGCCGTGCTCGTCAACAATATCGGCAACGTCGTAGTTGGGGTGAGCATTTGATCGAGACACTGATGCGATTCTCCGCATGACTTGCCGCTGTTGTCGACTTTCACCGTGTTTTTCGGTTGAGCGTAACCCACGTGGGAGTGGCACGTCATGGCAATGCAGTAGAAACGTGACGTGGAGCATGTCTTGATCTGCCAGGGCTGATGCGTGCTCTGCCTTTAAGCAGGAATAAGTCCAGCATCTTTTTTAAACTTCATGTTCGGTGTTGAACTAAATTTGTTAGATTAAACATCACTGAGACTAAGGCAGGCTTTCTCTTCTGTCTTTGCCTCCAAAGTGAGCATTACCAATGCCCTAACAGCGTACGTCACTATGGAAAGGTTCATGACCGGGGACACGTCTCTCGCAACAAGGGCGACAGCTTGACACCACCTCGAGTTCCACCAGTGGACGCCTCACACACCACCTCCACCGACAGATCAACAACAAGCACTACGGCTCGGTGCGCGGTCTGTGCGGCGACTTCGACGGCAACAAGTACAACGACAAGCAGACGCCAGCCGGTGAGCTGGCCGGCTCGACCGTCGAGTTCGGCGACAGCTGGGCGCTGATGGACCGGCCGCAGAGCTGCGAGCCCGAGACCTGCCAGCACGCCAAGGAGGCCTTCTCACTCTGCCAGAAGATTAGGTGTGTACTGAGCGTCAGGCTTCTGGCTCGCCTGTGGCGCGCGTGCATGCGGGGAACGCTGAGCAGCAGCAGTTTAGGGCCGCTGTTGCCACTTCGGCTTCAGCGACATTGTTAGAGTATCCCGGTGTTGTGCCAGACCGGAATGCGTCACTTTATGTCGACTGATCCTGGAAGATTAGAGCAAGCATGATTGGAATTAGATAAAAGAGGAAATTGTGTTGGGCTGAAAAGACTGAACTTAATTCCGCATGGCTGTTTTGGCGTATCCTTGCCATCATCTAGCCTGCATGACTTCCTGATACTTGATCATCTTTGTTAATCTGTGCTGAACTCTGCTGATCTCTATCGATGTCACATGGCCTTTATTGACCTCCACTGACCTCCTCTGACATCTCCTAGCCTTTAATTGTCCATGATGACACCTGTTCAACTCTGATGATATCTGACGACCTCCATTCACGTCTGCTGACTGACCTTTTCTGCCCTCGGCAGATTCCTACTTACTTATTCTGACCTTTCCTAACCTCTGACGACCTCTGCTCACCCCTGCTGACGTGTGCCTAGCTGCATCATTGATGTCGGTGCCGATCTCCGACGGTAGGCTGTCGCCGTTCTCGCTGTGCCACTCGACCGTGGGACCGGACTCGTTCATCTCCTCCTGCCTGGAAACGTCGTGCGCCTGCCTGGACGCTGGCAAAGACCCGGACGAATGTCGCTGCGCCGCTCTCACCACCTACATCACCGAGTGTCTCAGCCTGGACCCGTCGGTGGAGCTCAGCTCGTGGCGCACCGAGCACCAGTGCCCCTCGCAGTGCCCGCCCGGCGAGGTGGGTGCCGCGCCGGTCTGGTGGACGCGGACGGCGGTCGAGTGCGAGACGTGATGGGAATGCCGGACTGGCCTTTGCCGGCTCCACCGACAGTCTGACTGCGGATGACGTACGGATGGACTGGCGGGCGCGCCCTGGACTCTGACCGTGGCAGCGCGTTACGAAATCCGCTTGCCAAGCCGATCATGCCGGCTCCCGGCGACGTTGGGACCGCTCTTCCCCGACGCCCCTGGCCAGGTGCAGCGCTACGTCTCCATCGCCAGAGGCGGCGGGCACCACTGTGCGCGACGGCTGGCGACGCTGACGCCGCCTCGGCCCACTGTCCGGCAGGTGTACCGGGACTGCTACCGGCCGACCTGCGAGCCCAGCTGCGACCAGCTGGCTCCCTGCGACGTGCTGCCCGACATGTGCTTCCAGGGCTGCTACTGCCCCGACGGTCAGGTCCGGCGCGACGACCGCTGCGTCGACCCCGTCGACTGCCGCGACTGTGAGTGACCTCGGTGTGCTGGTCTTTTTTCGCGCTCACTCGCTGACGTGCTCTTTTACTTACTCAGCTGCGTACCCACGCACCCACTCACCCACTCACGTGCTCGCAGCCATCCACTCATTCAGCCACTGCCGACTTTATCTTAATTAAACCAGTTCAACTTCATCGCTTTCTTCCACCTTCCTACCGACTTCCCTATGTATGTACATCACTAGCTTGCTTAAATGCATGTATGTTTACTCCACCTCCTCTCTCTCTCTCTCTCTCTCTCTCTCCTCTCTCTCTCTCTCTCTCTCTCTCTCTCTCTCTCTCTCTCTCTCTCTCTCTCTCTCTCTCTCTCTCTCTCTCTCTCTCTCTCTCTCTCTCTCTCTCTCTCTCTCTCTCTCTCTCTCTCTCTCTCTCTCTCTCTCTCTCTCTCTCTCTCTCTACCTCCCTTCTTCTTCCTTTCTCTTTTTCTTTCTCACGCTCACATGTTCTGCCTCTCCCATCTACTCACTGTTGCCGGACTGTCACCGTTGTGACACTCTGAACCACGCAACAGACTTTCACCGCGCACGGATGACGACCGCCTCTCCGACCCAGGCCAGTGCGGTGTGTATCCTGACGGCCAGTTCGACTCATTTGACAAAGAGGAGCGCACCCTCAACACCAACTGCACCTACCTGGCCGCCGGCCGGCAAGAGCCCAACGGCAAATTCAACTTCATGGCAAGTGCAGCCACCTTGTTGCAGTCTTTTTATTCGCTTGTTCATCTTTCTGCAGCGAGCTAGGTGCGATTCTACCAGCTTGTCGTGATTGTCACGTTCCAGCTCCTGTGAGTGGCTAAGGTGCAGACTGCCATGACAAAAAAAACTCGCCAAAGTTCACAATGCAACACTTTTTGGGACTTAACAGTCTGTTGTTGGCTGTTGGCTTGGCTGTTGGCCGTTGTTGCACTTGGCATTGCAATACTTGGCGAGCGAGCGTGGCGTACACCTTCCGCGTTTCGATGTCACCCCAGCGATGTGTCTGACGAGCCACCACGACCTTCGCAGGTCTTCGTGGACAACGGCAACTGTCTGACGTCGTACGCCCGCGAGGTCACCTGCACCGACGACGTGCGCGTGGAGTGGGACGGCAACGTGGTGCTGATGAAGCGCTCCGGCCAGCTGGTGCGTGCCCCCGCTGTCCGGCACCGCGGCCGCAGCCGAATGGCGCAGCGGCTGTGTGGCGATGAGGAGCTTCCGCCGCCGTTCTTTTTTTTGTACCTTTTGATGAGCCCACCACGCACATGTGTATAGAGATCGGCCACAGATCATGTCATATCGAGGCAACAAACGATGCTTCGAATTTGTGGTCGTGCGAAGTGCAGGCAGTGTGGCGCGGCTCGTGCAGCGAAGAGCGGCTTTGCGTGCGGTCTGTGGCTTGGGAATGCCGCTGATGGTGGCTGGCAGGTGGTGAACACCGGGCGGCAGCCGGTGCCTGGCGGGACACTGGGGCCGTGACGGCGCATCCATAGTCCTCGCCACCGCACTCCTGGCCATCACTCAACCCTCTCCTTGAAGACCAGAGCCGTCGGGGATCGGACCTGCGCCGCTCCTGCGTCATGCCTAGGGGCTGCTTGGTGGCGTGTGCTCGGCCTGGGAGCGATAACATGGGCGTGCGTGGCGAGTGAAGGTGAGTGAGTGTGGCTCTCCGGTGTCGGGCGCTGGACTCCGTCAGGCTTTGGAGCCTTTTGAGGGTAAGCTGGGGAAGTCCCGCCTCTGTTTCCCTCCTCTCTCGCCAAATCCTACACATGCTTTTTCAAGCTCAACACGCTGCACTAAATAAGCTGACGACAAGTGGCCGTCAAGCCTTCCGAGCTATTACTGGACAAGCGACCATCTCCAACACCGAGTCTTATGGAGTAACTGACATCCCTTCCTTTCTCTATCTCTCTTCCATGTCCAAACCCCAGAGGCGGGACGCAACCAGGACTCTCCGCAGGAAACGCGCGGCCGTCGACGACCAGGACATCGCCGGCTTGCGCAAGAAGATCTCACGCTTGCAGCGCAAGATAGGCCGGCTGGAGGACCGTGGGCGACCCGTGCCCTTCCGACTGGCGGCTCGCATGACACGCTTCATGACTCGGCTACGCAAGCTGCAGAAGAGTTTGGCCCCGCAGCCGACCACGGCGGCACCGCCGACGCTGACCACGACTCCGGCGCCGACTCCGGCGCCGACGCGGGTCAGCCCGGCGCTGCGCAGCGGGCTGCCTCAGCCGGAGACTCTGACGGTCGACCGACTGCAGGAGATCGCCGGCGCGCTGGACCGCTACTCTCGGTACCGGCCAGACGAGCCCGTGTCGCGCGCGTTCGCCCGCGTGCTCGAGATCGACAAGCGTAACCAGGCGAGGGGCGCCGTGGCGCTGCTCCGCCTCGCGCGGCGTTACGAGGACGAGATTGAAGGCATTCTGAGTTTGACAGAGGCCGAGGGCGAGGAGGAGACGTATGAGGACCAACACGAGGCCGCGCACCAGGCGGCGACGGAGCCCTCGCCTCGCGTGACAGCCGCTACAGTGGGCGCCAGCCAGCGGCGGACCCTGTCGACGACGCGCGCCACTGCGTCCCCGACAGCCCCGACCACGGACAGGCCGACCGTCCCCGCTACGCCGCCGCCGCCACCGACGACGGAGAGGCCGGCGCCGGCACCGACGCAGCCGCAGACCACAGCGGCGACCGCGGCGGCGCTGCCGGCCGGCGGCGTCGGGCCGAGGTCCAGCCGGACGCGGCTGAGGTCTGCGGTAAGCCGCCGCCGGATGCAGCTGCCAGCCGCTGACCAGGCGGCGGGCTCGACGCTTTCGCCCGCCGCGCCCACCATCCCGCGCGATGAAGCCGGCGGGCGGGCCACCCCCGCCGCCCTAGAGAAGACCGCTGCGCTGGAGAAGCCAGCGGACCTGCAGCCGCTGCCGCTGGTGGCGCCGGCGGCCAGAAGCTTTGCCGGTCTGCGCTCCGGCGCCGGGCCGCAGGTACAGTCAGCCCGCTACGGTCCGTCAGGTGCCAGCAGAACCGGACGCGGGGCGCTGAGCAAACCCGGAGCAGGTAGGAACGCATGTTCTCAGGTGACCCGGTAGAGATGCTCTTTTGCTCCGGAAAGAGGTAAGTAGGAGCTTTCTGCATTGACTGCTGCAAGTAAGCTGTGAGCTGCATTCACTTGTGCGTTCTCCAATTCGCAAAATACTTTTTTAGGGCTTCCGTGCAATATTTCCACTGGAAATAATGACTGGAAGGTAAGAGCCCGATGCAGCAAGCTGTGCGACAGATCCCGACAGACACCTAAACCGGCTGTGCTGCGTGCTGCCGGCAGGTGGAGGTGTTCGTGAACGGCGCCATGGTGGAGGGCTTCTACCACGAGTACGACTGGGGCTCGCTGTCCCAGCCGCCACGCGGCTCCGTGCTGCTGACCGTGGCGAAGCTTCATCTGGAGATCAGCCTGCGCCCCGACTCTGGCGCCCTCTCCGTCCGCATGCCGTCCAAGGTGTACGGCGGCAGCGTCAACGGCGTGTGCGGTGAGTGGTGCCGGCGTCGGCCGCGGCAGCAGCTTGGGGTGACGTGTGTGCGTCACCCGATGTCCCGCCCTGTGTCCCGAGCTAGCGTCCGTCAAAAAAACCTGACCTCTCAAGGTCAAGCTCCCGCCCACGACAACAATGTGTAGAGCATGCTATACAATGAGACAGTCAACCAGCCATCGGGACCCCCAACCATGTCCCGCACCACATGAGCGTATGGCTACTCCCGGGTGTTCTGAAGACCCACCACCTGGTTCTCGGACCATCCCTGAGCCGCAAGGGCGGTGCGTAATGCCGTCTGCTCCATTGCCAGGCAACTGTGATGGCAACGCCGAAGACGAAGCGGCGTCACATCCCGTGCTTTGGCTGCTGGACTCCGAGGACCCGGCGTCGTGCGTGGAGGAGGTGGCCGCGTGCGTGCCGCCGCCGGCCGAGCAGGACACGTGTCAAAAGATGCTGGACGAAGCGCTGTTTGGCTCGTGCCACCTGCTGGAGGACCCTGCGCCATTCGTCGCCGCTTGTCAGAGACGCACGTGAGTGATGAGACCAGGGCTTCGGTGGCGCTGGTCCCGCCTTCTGACGGCTGCTTCGTCTGGCGTGTCGAACAGGGTAAGACAGACTAAACAGAGCAGGCTAGACAGCTCGGTATTGGCCACCGGCCCCCGCTTACGTCAATGCGGTCAATGCTTTCTCCCGATGGAGGCGTTCTGTCACCATGGCATGCACACTTCCGGCGATTTCTCCCGGAAGTCAACTACTGCGTAACGCCCACCAGTGTTCGCCATTGTACCGCCTGCCATGTTCCTGACCAGGCCCTGCACTTGTCCGCTGATGCGTCCATAGGCTCCTTTCTGATCGTCTGCGCCTGTTGTCTCCCTGATCACGGGCCGTGCTCTGTTGGTCTACTGTTTCCCTGATCACGTCTGAGCGTGGTTGGCCACAGCGTCGCTGAAAATTCGCGGCCATGTTGAGATGTTATCCTGGTGTGCTGCCGTCCCCCACTTTAGAACCCGATGCTCTTCTTCCGTGCCCCGGCTGGGTTTTCTTTTGTGTCCCCGTTCAGTCCTTGGGCGTCACGTCTACGCGCGCCGCTCCAGCTCCTGACCACCTCACATATGGGCGCTTGTGCTGGCCAACACTCGCTCGCTGTAGCACAAAATGAGGCTGGATACACCCGTCTGCTGCTCACCTGATATGGAACAGTGATGTAAAGCCTGTCACATGCCCCCTCCGTCTTGGGCCCGGATAGCGTGGGCGTCGCGAAGAGACCTCAGCATTGTCTCCATTCCGACGCATTAGAGCCCCCGTCATCTCTCACCGGACCGACGTCACCGTCAGTGCTCAGTGCCGACCCCCTCCCCCCCCCCGCCTGTCGCGTCACGTCCCATGTGACGTCACCCTGTCGCCCTGCCCGGCAGATGTGACGACTACGAGCACAGCGTGTGCGACGAGCTGGAGCTGTATGCGCGCCGCTGCTACGAGCGCGGCCTGTGTGTGCAGTGGCGCTCCCAGGGTGTGTGTGACCGGACCGAGACGTGCCCGCCCAGCATGCAGTACCGCCAGTGCTCCGGCACCTGTCTCAGGAGCTGCGAGAAGCGCGACTGCCCGCTGCTCGAGATGGACGGCTGCTTCTGCGCCGAGGGACAGGTCAGCGGGAGGTGCTGCCGCCTCCAGGGCGCTCGCAGGCCGGGGACGGTTGGCTGCCCGGTGATAGCAGCCTAGCTTTCTCAGGACACTGGTGATGCGTGACGAGCGCGAACGCGTGCTGCACCAGGGTTCGTTACCGACAAGGGTGTCACATTTGTGGAAAGGCTCATGTTGCGCGTCGTTTAAGGGAAGCATGTTGCGAGATTACAGAATGAATGGATTACAGATTACAGAACGGGCACCGTCTGGCACCCAGCCAGCATCTCAGACAGCGATCTATGCTCTTGACAGCTAATTCAGTATCGTCCACGCTCTCATCACTTCGGCAGTGTGCCACCTGCCCGAGCGCTTGTGACCTGACCTGACCTGACTTGGTCTGGCCCCAGGTGTTCGAAGATGGTGTTTGCGTGAGCGACACTCAATGCAACTTCTGCGACGAGCTGGGCCATCGTCCGGGCGACTCGTGGCGACCGGACAACTGCACGCGCTGCGAGTGCCTGCCGTCTGGCTCTTCGCAGTGCACCTCGGTCAGTCTCCAGACGCCGGGCTCGGTGGCGGGGTCGCACGCACAAGCCGTTGCGTTTCCAGGCGCATGGAGGCTATGGAGAGTGGATAAACCGACCTTGGCGGGGTGTCCAGCGCTCGAATTATTGATAGCAGCCTCATGATTTCGGGGAGAGTCTGCGCTGTTGATCTGCTTATCATCCTTTTAAAATGTGACACTGTACTATCATCCCAAAATACATATCACGCTCGCGGTGCTACTAACAAGTCCTATGCGGAATTGCTACTATATCTTGTCTTGCAACATACCGCCTTGTGAAACACACCGTCACGACTGTAATGACTTGTGGTGCCCTCTCTGTGGAACTCTCTTGATTACCTGTTCGCCTCGCTGCGTCTATGGTGACCCTCTGTGATCGCTGGTACCCTGTGACGGCCGTCGTGCTGACCTGCCGCGCGTGCCGTCGACGCAGGTGGAGTGCCCGCCGCAGTCGGTGCTGGCCTGCGCGGAGGACGAGACGGTGGTCGAGCTGTCCGAAACGGCCACCGAGTGCTGCCCGGCTCGTCACGAATGTCGCCTCGTGGCCGTCACTACCACCACCACCGTCGCACCGCCCACCTCCCCGGCCGCGATCCACTGCCCGGACGTGGTGGAGCCGGCGTGCAAAGCCAGCGAGGGCAAGCTCATGCAGCGAATCGTCGTCAACGGCTGTCCGGTGGCGGTGTGCGCCTGCGTGCCGGCCGACCAGTGCCCGCCGACGGAGGAGCTGCGCGCGCTCAAGGTCGGCGAGCGCATCGATGAGCGCAACGACACGTGCTGCCCGGTGCGCTCGATCGAGTGCGAGCCGGCGCGCTGCCCGAAGGCGCCCGACTGCCCGTCCGACTTTGAGTTGCACACGCCGCCAGAGACGGCCGCCGACTGCTGCCCGCCGAGTTATTGCCGCCAGCCGCCCGGCACCTGTCTGGTGCGGCTCGACGTGGCCATCGACATCCGTTCCATCACCGCCGACGACACGGAGGGCTTCGTGTTGAAGCGCGACGGCGATGTGTGGTCGGATGGCTTCTGCGACAACTGCACGTGCCGCGAGGTGCCTGACGGCGATCCACGCTATCAGCCCTTGTGTGTGCGGCTGGCCTGTCCCGAGCCGACGGCCGCCGACCGCCAGCAGTATGTGTACGGCGAGGATGAGGACAGCGACGACCCGTGCTGCGCGTCGTTCGTGCGCGTCGCCTGCAGGGATAACGGCAAGGTGAGTGCCGAGGGCGACCTGCTCGCTGGTCGCTGGTCAAAGGCCCAGCGGCCAGAGGGTCCAACTGGACGCGGCTGGCGAGTCATGGCTTGTGGCTTGGGGGGGGGGGGGGGGAGGGCGGTCGAATGCGAGCGGTTCTGTGCTCGAAAAGCCCCTTTTAAGATAACCATGGAGGAACTCTCTTGTGGATCTGCGTAATGTCACAGCCGGGCTTTTTACGAATTCCATATTCTTTTCTGATAAAGAAGTCACTTTTGACGATTTTTAGCGACTGGCAATGCTTACAGTCCTTCCTAATGGATCCGAAATACCGGATAGTCGCGGCGTTTTCCGTGCTCTACGGGTGTTTTTGTCCTCTCTTCAATCCCGGCCGCCCGGCTGCTGTCGGCCGTCTCCGCACACCGCGCGCCACACTGCTCCAGCTGACCGTGAGTGCCCGTGTCCGCGCGCAGGTGCACCAGCCGGGCGAGACGTGGGCCCAGGTGAACGGCGGCCTGCCCGCGGACCCCTGCGTCACTTGGGAGTGTGCCCTCAACCCGGAGCTGGGCGTGGTCAAGGTGCCCACCCGCGAGAAATGCGTCGAGGACTGCCGCCTGGTGAGTGACCGACGAACTAATGCTTATGGTTTAGTTAACAAAGAACAATAAAAACCACACACGCGCACAAAGAGGTGGCATTTACGGCACAGCGCTATAATTCGCACTCCTTTAACAGGAAAACTTTTTTTCCTTTAGCAGGCAGCCCCACTGGATAGGTGTGATAAATGAGACCGGTCGGCTGGTCCGTATGTGCGCTGTAGCATTCTTTTGACGCCGGCTGAAGTATTTTTGAGTGAATGGTTACCAATGCTCTTCCTAAGAAGTAATGTGACCGCGGAGTAACTGCCCCGTGCTGGCACGCTGCTTACCTCTGGGAAGGGATGATTCTGTATGACCGTTCTAACGATTAAAAATCGTTTGCGTGGCCTCCTTCATGTCACTCACGCTGGTAGTGCCGGGAAAATTCCTCTTCCCTCCCCATCCCTCTCTCGGTAAGGCTCGGCCGCATTTTGTTTGCCACGACCCTATGCAATATAAACTTGTAGTCTCATGACCAGGAAAATTATATTGGCTTTATACTTGACTATCAAGGGCAGTGGCATGGTAGCGGGAGGCCGAATGAATATGTATCCTTCGCAATACGAGGCAGTTATTTTGGTCGTCAGGACAAGCCAATATTGAAAGCCCATTGATACATTAGGATCTATATTTATTAACATATGTGGCGTCCGAAGTCTGCTCGTAGTGCGTGGAAGCTATAATTGCACCGGGACTCGGTTCTAAAAGAAACCCCAGCCGTCGTCCTCTGTCGCAAATTCCGGCCACGCCCCTTCTCAACCGCACCACGTCGGTCACATTTCATTCACGACAGCATAACGTTGCAACGTCCCTTCGGACATCTCCGACGATATCGCCCCCGGCAGGGTCACACGCACTTCATTCACGGCAGCACCACGTTACAACGTCCGTTGGGGCACCTCTGACGATATGGCCCCCGGCAGGGTCACACGTACGTGCCGGCGGCGCCCGGCTCGGGCGAATGCTGCGGCCACTGTGAGCGCACGGCGTGCGTGGCGAACGGCGTGGTGCGGGCCGAGGGCGCCCTCTGGAACTCTGCCGACGGATGCACCGAGTACAGGTGCGAGCGCGACATCTTCGACGACCAGCTGACGGTGGTGAGCTCGGCCAGCCTGTGCCGTGACGTCAGCGACTGCCCGCCCGAGAACCTGTACACGGACGAGACGGGCTGCTGCCAGCGCTGCAATCGCACAGGTGAGACGACAGAGACGCGGCGGAGACCGGGGGGCGGGGGGAGGAGGGGGCGACAGCCTGAGACGCGGCGGAGACCGGGGGAGGGGGCGACAGTCTGAGACACGGCGGAGGCCGGGGGAGGGGGGTGACAGCCGTAGATGCGGCGGAGACCGAGGGGACAGCCGTAGACGCGGCGGAGACCGTTGGGCGGGGGGAGGAGGGGGCGACAGTCTGAGACACGGCGGAGGCCGGGGGAGGGGCGACGGCCTGAGACACGGCGGAGGCCGGGGGCGGGGCGACGGCCTGAGACACGGCGGAGACCGAGGGGAGGGGCGACAGCCGTAGATGCGGCGGAGGCCGAGGGGACAGCCGTAGACGCGGCGGAGATCGGGGGGGGGGGCGGGGGGGGGGGGCGGCAGCTGAAGACGCGACGGAGACGCAGCGGAGACCGGGGGAGGGGGTGACCGCCTGAGACACGGCAGAGACCGGGGAGCGACCGCTGGAGACGCGTTTGAGACCGAGGGTGGCAGTTGGAGACGAGGCAGAGACTGGGGATGACAACCGGAGACGCGGCGGAGACGCGGCGGAGACACGGTGGAGACTGGGGGATGAAAACCGGAGACGCGGCGGAGATCGATGGCGACAGCCGGAGCGGCGTGTCCGTGATGGTTGTGAACCGACAGCAGTGCCTGGCGCCCTCGCCGTCAGCACGAGTGTGACGTTACATCGCGAAGTGCACGGATGTCGGTGCAATTATGCACGAACGAATGACGACTCCTTTGCAATGCAGCACTCTCTGTCTCTAAAAACGAGCTTGAATTCGTACTCATTTGAGAAAATTATGAATGAAGTGGTGGCTTCAGAAGGACCGTGCAACATCATTAAATACGCTTGCAAACGTACATGCAGGAAGGAACGCCTCGTGCATTCCGCGCCGGATGGTGGCCTAGTTCCAGACAGTTGATGTCTGCTGTCCACTTCCGCAGATAACTGCCACGTGAAGGTGGTGCCGCCCCCCGAAACGGTCGGCATGTTCAAGGAAGGCGACTGCGTCAACGTCAGGCCTGTTGCTGGAATCATCAGCTGTCAGGGCGCCTGCGACTCGCTAGCCTTCTTCGACACAGGTGAGAAGAAAGTCGTGCGCCTGGGTGAGGTCCGTGTGAACGAGAGTGCTAACGAGTTTGTCATGTGATGAAAAATAACTGGTTGAACAGACTAACCAGTGAACTGAACCAAACTAGCGATTTCGAAAGTGGTCTAAACATGCAAAAAACTGCATGATGCGTAAGTAGTTCAGCTTCCCTGTCCCTTACGCCTCGTCGTAGTAACGGGCATCCGTGCAAATTGCTAGGCTACATCAAAACAAGCCATGTTCTTGCTCCTTTCACCACGCTCTAGCCAGCCTGGGTCGGCCGTAGCCCGTGACTTACCCCTGAACGGCGGCTTGCGTCTGCAGAGTCCTCCAGCATCCAGTCGGGCTGCAAGTGCTGCAGCGTGACCACCACCCGCCAGCTGGACTTGCAGCTGACCTGCGAGCGCACCGACGTGTTCGGCCGGCCTCAGACCAGCACCATCTACCACACGTTCACGGTGCCCGACGGCTGCGCGTGCAGCAAGTGCGACAGCTCGTCGACCGGCCTGGGCGGCGCGGCCGGCGCCTTCTGGCAGCAGTCGACGGGCGAGGAGTGGAGCCAGCAGACGGGCGACGCCGGCTTCGGCGGCGACGCGTTCCCCTGGGGCGACGCTGGCTCCGAAACCACGTTCTCCGTTGACAACGGCAAGGACGTCGGCTTTGTGGACACGACGCACCGCGGCAGGCTGCCCAGAATCTCCGACAGCGACTTCTTCGACCTGCTGTCAGAAAGCGCCGGCCCGGCCGCCGACGAAAACATCGGTAGGGGGGAGATCTACTGAGCGGCGCGCTTGTGTCCCGGGTGATCCAGCGTCTGCTGCGGTACACCGAGTGTGCCAGGGTTCACCAGCGTCCACAGGTACCTGCCGGGATCCACCAAGGCGCGCTGGGCTGCGCTTCAGTGCGTTGACGTGCGTGGTTTTCACCGGGCTCTTGGGGTGCGCTCAGGCCCATGGAAGTTGACTCGAGTTGGGGTTAGGAAGAGAGGAACCGTGTGAGCATCACTCACGACTCCCGTGCACGGAAGAAGAGGCGAGTAGCTTGGGTCGAATCCTGCGCGGGCTTCACCAGGGACACGACGCGGTTTGTGTTAAGGCAGGAATGCAGGCCGCTCCTGGTGCGGCCGTGAGCGCGAGGACCGGAAGACTGGCAGTGGTCAGCCCTCTTTGGTGGTCGCTTTACAGCGAACCAGTGACAACCGCCTGCGGTTTGTAAGTCTGCACGCTGGAATTATTTGTGTTGTGTTAAATGCGACGTGTTGTTCGAAGAAGAGGCACCCGTTCTGTTCAAGTCAATTTGCTTTCATGCTATCCGCATCCGAAGGTAGCTTGCGATAGCCTGAGATGATACATTGCTTGAGGGAATATGTCGTGGTGTGTCATGCTTGCGTTAGATATGTTGCGTAGCATTTATTTAAGAACGTCCAATGACCCCAGCAGGCGTCATCAGGCTGCTGGTTGAACGCACAGAGACATGTGCAATTCAGCTACGAAATATTCGACGACGATTGCTGGGATTCAGATATACCTGCGCATTGTGTTGCACATAGTGCTTTGGAAGTGTAAGGATCTAGGAGATACATACTAGTGCACGTCAATAAAGTACATGGCTATAAACAGAAAAAGTTACGTACTTTACAGCTGTGGGCCTTGAGGCCAGGGAATCGTGTAAGTGCAGTGATGTGCCCGCGTCCGCAATGTGCACACACAGGAGCCTGCACAACCAGTATCATCTGGGGGCATACTGAACGACCCAGAGCACAAATCGACGATTTGGCAATGCGCGACAGCAAAACCGGGAAGTATTAAGCTGGTACTGATACGTGGCAGATATGTGTATCGCTTAAGTTCAAGTCAGTGAGCTTAACGCTACGCACCATGGGACGTCGAAGGTGCGACCGGGCATTGACCCGCGCCCGAACGGGAGGAAGCTGGCATCCCTAGTGGTTTTTCGAGCTCAGGTTAAAAACACGAACTTTCGCAGCAACACCGAATTTCAATACTTGATCATTAATGAATTTGGCGTCTTTTGAGCAAATTTGAAGCTTTGATCCAACAAGATGAGTGGCCTAGGTCTGGTCCAGAAGGTCAGCCTCTAAAAAATTTGACCAAGCGTAACATTTGTGTGGGTCGTTTGCCATTGTCCAAACTTGCTTCAGTAACAGAACATGACAGCACCTAGAGTCTCTTTACTTCAAATTTTTCGAAACATGCTAGTTTTTTCTCTGTGTAACTAATATCAATGTGAACGCATTTTTGTGCAATCCTGGTGTATGTGAGGAAAAGATCCTTAACTGGCATGCTTAGCGGTCACATGGCCACAAAGCACATGGTATTGGCCAATGTCATGACCGACCTCTATGGGTGCCTTCTGCAAAACTCATGCTAAGTTTAAAACCGGCAATTTTATTATGTATTTTTGGACGCAGAATTCGAATACCCTACTGGACACAAGTTGTGATATCATTGTAATGCATTCTGAGGTAGGTTACAATACTGAGGTTACATGAGAATATGCAACATCATATAAGGTCATCCAAGCTCAGTGACCCGTTTCGTCAGAAGCGGAAAGGCTAGATGGACGAGTGCGATCGGTGTAACCACCCCCGTATCGTGCTTATAAAGTTGATGACGTATAACTTCATGTAACAATCTGCTTGCTCTCATTTGTTGCAAATGAATTGCCAAGCGTCCAACGGAATATGCATACTGTGGACGACAGCTATGCGATTTTGAGTTCCTTTAGATGTATAGACATGCAACACACTATTACTGACCACATGAAACAAATGTACTGGTCACATAGACCCGGTTATCACTTTTCAGCCAGATGGCTTGCGAATTTGACCCAAGCTGACCTCAAATTACCTCTTGGTCACCCAAAAATGGTATGTTGTGTCTGAAATACTTTTGATCCACATCTGCACCTAATAAAGTAAACTTGAAGCACATTATGAAAAAGTACTGTTCTTGTAGGCTACCGGTGGACGGTTTTTGAACAGTGACCTCATATGACCTGATCCTTGTGGGTGAACAGAAATGGCCGGAGTGGACTCCCCACTGTTTTAACGCTTATAACTTGCCCATTAACACCCGTCCTGACGTGTAAACATAGGTTTTAACTGCATCTATCGGAACGACCGTTTTTTACCTTTTGTGACCTCTGGTGACTCCACATTTGACCTTAAGTTAAAATATGTTCTTCATGACTTGACGAGACCTTCACAATAGTGTCTTAGTTTTTCTCAAACGGACGGATTTACGGATTTCGGATTTCTCATATTTCTCATAAGTTGGAGTTCACACCGGGGAAGTCAACGTCTTCCGGCCGGGCGCGGTTGTCTTAGAACCTGGCCGCGCACAGGTAAAAGAGCTTGTGTGGGTTTTCTTCCTGGAGTGGAACTCGGTCGCACGCATTGGTTTCATCTAGGCGATTTCACAGATTGGGTAAAACCAATCTTGCCGATTGGGAGTGGAGGACGGGTTGTGTTGGTACAAATTTCCGGAAAACTACAGGTATGGGTAACACGTTTGCGAAATGTCTGGCAGACCATCCAAGAAATGCTGCACATTTTGAGCTATTATCTGGTTGTGCTATTATCACCACAAAAGAGTAAGCTTGCCCATCAACTTTCTCGAAACCTTTTCATAATTTAGACCTGCAGTTCTCGAAAGTACGATCAGGTGAGTAACAGGTACTCACCTACCACCTGATGGGCACAACTGACAAGCATTAGCAGGTGGGGAGGGGCACAGCCCCGCGAAATGGGATGGGATGAGCAACGGAAATCTTTGAAATCAACTCGCATTTATGAGCAACTCGGCTGATAAACACCAGTGGCTTTTTGTTTAGAACAGATATCTAGGCTCAAGGCGGCTGCGTGAGGACGTCTGGGGCCCTTTGAACACTAATCTGGAGGCTGGCTTTGCTTAATCATCTGTGACGCGAGGGTCATAGCCTAGGAATATCAAATTTGGACACAACGAGTTCACAAGCATGCTAAAGCCCCCTTTGAAGTAAGTGTCTCTATCTCTCCTAATTTTTATATTTCAGGGGTTTCATTGACCCCCACCCGAGCGTATCGTATTCAACCAGTCGCCCAGGTTCGTATTAGAGACAAACATTGCTTATCTCAACTGCATTTTTAACTCCACTGATGTTTCACTGCTTCGGAGTGCCTGTTCTGCGAAAAGAATAGCGCCCAAGAGCTGAGCTGCCGGGGACAGCTGAGCACGTGCGCTCGGGGTCAACTGGCCCGGCACTTAATAAACGCCAAGGAGGCAGAGTGACGCTGCAATAAAACATTCTAGCGAAACCGAATTGTCTTTCAGGTGTCTGACTGCAAGACGAGAAGTGGGTATGGAGGCCAGGTATAGCGAAACCATGAGTCAGAGGTTCACAAAAAGAAGTTCCCTCAATACAAGAACAAAGTGGCCTGAACCTCACACGAAATCGGTATTTGGGTCGCGGATATGCTATACGAATGTACAATGGGGATCTTTCATGCTAATGGGATTTTCCCCTCCCCATTCCCCACGCCCCCCCCCCAAAAAAACCCCCTGCACAAATGATGTATTAAATAAACACAAATTATTAACAAAGTACTTGACCAATTTATTAACCTGTTGGGGCACTCTCGGCTGGAATTCTTAGTTTTGATGTGGCGGGTCACGCTAGATTCTCATGAACTTTTATTGCTTTCATTGAAGCTTCTGCTTCTGCTTCTGCTGCTCCAATTTTCCACCGGATGGCTCGAGAACTATCTGGGGGGGGGGGGGGGGGGGGGGGTCACACACAGCGAGTAAGAGTGACAGACCCGCTATCTAGTCCATCAAATATCGCTATTGGCACTTTGCAGAGTACCTACCTCGGCCATCTGTTTGTAGAACATAAACAGTGATGACCTTGCGTGTCATATACCGTCTGAAACCAACGGATTCCGTGTAACGGTGGCCAGATACGCTGATGATGCACAGATCGCCGTCACTGGACCATGTGGCAGCTGCAGTTATCTGTTCTGTGGCAAGCTTTGGAGAGGGCCACTTTCTGTGCACGTGGTTTCTCCAACATGGCATCATGTTGAGATAAAAAAGGGTGTAGCGAATTGGCTGCAATACATGACGGGGATAAAATGTACCTTAACTCAGGAGATGATCCAGGATTCCGTAAAGAGGGAGCGGCAAGCAGCACTGTAGCACGCATCACTGCATATCATAAAGATGATAACTTATCATGAAGGTAAATGGATAGTTGCCTTATTATCATCTTCTGAACGTTTCCAACCAATCTCAGACATTTCATCGCTACATCTCATGATTTTCCCGTGGGACAAGCGATTGCTGGAACGTTTTTCATAACACCTGATTGTTGGCGCATGATCGAAAGGCCAACAGCTGAAACTTACGTTAACGAAAGGTCAAGGAAAGGTTAAGGTTAAGGTAAAGGAAACTTAAAACAAAGATTAAGCACCTGCAGAAGTCAGTAATCGTGACCGTATCTGAAATCCGCAGTTCGGACTTGCGCGCATGTCTTTGTACAAAAAAAAAACTTCAGCTTATCCAGGTCGGCTAGCTGGTTCGGTCAACCACAAAGTACAAATTCGCATGTTGTAGGTCTTGGACCGATGTACGTGAATTGATTTTTCCAGGTCTGCACATAACCAAAAATGCCGGAAGACACGCACAGTTAAGTTGTGGTTAAGGATGATCTCTTCTGTTGTAGTCCTCTAAGATACCGAAAATCTTCCAGTGGCCGACTAAAATACTACTCACCTTGAGCTTCAAAAACTGATCCCGGCCGAAGGCTTCGTGGCAAAAAGATCTTTTACGAAAGCTGGAGAAAATGCGCATTTCAGTCGCCCGATGGTGAATCGTTGAATGCTTGATGTAAATAACTGATGTATCGAATGGCTACGTTAAAAGCCAATATACCACAACCACCATACTTCAGCATATGGGCAAAGGCATAAGGTGGCAATAATGTTCAATTATCACCTCTTCACGTCCGCTCGCAGGCGAAGCACCATGAATGACAAAGTGCTGGCAATCGGAAGCACATACGTATTTTTGGCACGAGTATAAGGTTCTTTTGAGCTCATAGGAAACACCCAAGACAAATGTGGAGGGTTTCGGAGCAATCATGAGTGTCTCTGCCGATTAACGTGTTGGGCATCCGCCAACAGCGAAGGCTCTTGGGCGGAACGGGGGAACCCAAGACCAATGTAGGCGGCATCTGGGTGGTGAGGGGTATGGCGGCGCAGACAGTTCAACACAGAGGCCCGCCCAGGTTAACACGGAGGTTTCGTGCTGGAGCCTCTGAGCAAACGAGAAGAGCCCCCACGACCATTGTGGTGGGACCCGAAACGATTGGGAGTTGCCCGGGAGGTTTGCATATAGGGCCTCCGGCCATGACGTAGGGCCCCGAGCTAATAGAGGGAAACCAAAACAACTGCAGGGGCTGCTGAGAGATCAAAAGTGTGTTTGCAAGTAAACTCAAGAAGGACCCGGTGCTGGGTCCTCCGAGCAAACATGAAGTACCCAAGATAAATGAGGTGAGCCTATGGGCAATCGAGAGTGTCCGGGAAGGTTAACACGCTAGGGTAGTGATGATTTTGACCTCCCTCAAAAGCTTCTTATAAAATAACTTTGGAGGAGCGCAGCTCAGCTACGCCAATCTTTGCTTCACTCTAGCTAACTGAAATCTTATTATGAACAATGCATATGTACTTAATAAGGTCGCTGATCTATGGCAGGTCAAAGCTAAGCTGTGGCTGCCAGCGAAGTCAATTTCTAGGAAATCGCTCAATCTGATGCGACAACGGAATGTTGGACAAAGCCGTACATCTCTGAGATAGTTTCTTAAGCAATAAAACAATGATAAGCTCAGAGTAATAACAAATTCCATTGACCTAGGGTCAGGCATGGTGGTCAGACCGCGGTCAAAACTAACCTGCTTTTTTACTGGAGAGCTTGCTTTATGGGGTAGTTTGTATGGTTGTCTCAAATATTTTGGAAACAGGGAACGCAAAAGATACCTGCCATGAACTTCCTAACACACCCCAGGGTGGCCGAATGGATACTCTTCGCTTGGGTGGAAGGAATCAGTCTGCCTACCCCCCCCCCCCCCCTCCCCATAACCTGATACCTAAAACCAAAGAAAGCTAGAAACGTTAAGTTCAGAGGATGTGTTGCCCTTTATGCGGACTCACTTATGTGAAAATTTGAGGCTCATAGCTAGGTTATGACCACCGAATCAAATAAGGTCCAGCAGAGTGAAACTCCAATTGGTGTCCAAAGTCCGCAGAAATTAGACATCTGTCGTAATAAAAAAGTCACTTCTATTCATGTAAGGTCAGTGACCATGTTTGGCCTTTCCAACGTCATGGTGACCAAAATCAGACAAGACTGCTTTCAGGCATGCATCTGAATACACGCCAAAGATTACGCTAAGCAGTGTGTTCCTAGAGGCAAAATGATGACTTTGTCAGTGGCCTTTTCTGATCTTTAGCAAGTCCATGGAAGATGTATCATACTTTTCCAGCTATCAATTAATTTGAAACTGAGCACCAGAAACTACCCTATGTTGCAAGCCATCAAGCAATGAAGCATGCTGTTTTTATCTTGGTTAGATCTTATAGCTGGCCCCAGGTCAATGGAATCTGTTCATTCAATTGCTGTGCTTTTTTATTTTGAAAATGATCTTTTTTACTTTCTTGACAAGACAAAAAAGCATTCAACTAAAAAACTATCAGAGATGTATGGCTTCATCTAATACTCCGTTGTTGCATGAGATTGAACGATTTCCCAGACAGTGTCTGAGCTAAATTCATGGCCCAACCATGACCTAACGTCGGTCAAAGACCTTACAAGGTGCATCTATCCTTTTGGTTCCAAACGATTCGCTATTTAATTGTGGAAGCTACGCAAAATTTCGTACGGCTACGCCGCGCTGTTCGCAAACCATTCCGGAAAAAATCTTGCGGGGAGGGCGGCTAAACTGATCCCCTACCCGAGCACCCGAGCGCATGTTAAAGGTCCTAGGAGATCAATGACCATACCATGTATATATATATATATATATATATATATATATATATATATATATATATAATATTAAGTGTCATCTAGAACATCATAAAATGAGATCATATCAAGATGTCATCCAGTAAACTTTATAGGGTATAGGGTTCGTCACCGCTGGGAGAGCAAATGGGAAGAGCACCACACCAATGTAGAGGATCGCTTAGCATTGAGTGTCTCGGTAGATTAAGTCAACAATCCTTAGCAAAATGTAGGAGCCACCGTGCAAAGGAGAATAATTCTACACAATTGTGGAGGGCCCCTGAGCTGCCGGGAGCAGGTATCCCAGCACGTTAACATGATGGACCTCTGTAACATCGTATTGAGCTTTCCGGACGGATGCAAAGAGCCCGTGAAGGGCTCTTGAGCGATCTAGAGTGCTCAGATAGATTAATGTAGGCCCACATACTTAACATTAGAGCTTATTCCGAGCAAATGCGAAGAACTCGTCAGCAACGTGGTGGGTCCTCCCGTGACACGAGTACCCTGACAAGGCAACATATGGGGTCCCGGGTAACCACATTTTCAAGTGTTCTCTTCTGAACAACGCAAGTTTTGAACAGCGTTTTACACGCTTAAGTTTCTCTTACTATAGCCCTTTCAATCAGTCAAAAAAAAATGATTAGGTTAGCACGGGTCCTTCATTTTCCCTTGTGTACTTTCCTGGTCGGCTGAAGGTCGAATGCGTCGAGAAGTTTACGCTTTGTGCCAAAGCAAGCGTCAGTTTGGCTAGCTAAGTGGCCCTTCCGGAACCCAGAGGGCAAAAGATGAGGGTATGACATCCTGGTCTCCCATTTGGATTGGCCCCTGAGGCAGATCGAGATCCTCTGACGACAAATCCCGAGTATAAGAGAAACACTCAAACGCCCAATCGAGATGCCAGCACTTACAAATGTCGGTATAGAGGGCAGCACTCACGAATCAATCAAGGGGTCAAAGAATAATTGTTGTTTACGCTACCTTGTAAGCACAGAAAAAGGTTAAAAGTAGCGTTCTAATGTTAAATATTGCTTCGTCATCTTTTTGTATCGAAGAAATAGTTCGGATTATTAGCTGTGCCAAAACCGATGTATAAATAAGACCTTAGCATCATTTGAAGATGGCGGCGCCCAGGATGTCAGGCGCTGCCTGCATATTCCTTGCGTTTTGTGTGGTATTGGCACCAGTTATAGCTCTAGATACATTCAATGAGTCTTTACTTATTAAGCCTCTATCTAGTGGCCACGTAATTGCCCAGTTCGACTTTGTGATCAGCGCGGATGATGTTGCCGGTACGGTTTGTGTTGTGACGCGCGTCGTGACTGCCGGCTTGTGCTGTGGGCACTGCTAATTCGGCGAGTTTATCTTATGAGGTGTTTTATGTGATGTATGTGCAACCAATAGATCCCAGCTCGCATGGTGATGCTATCCCCAGGGAAGAATTTTGCCAGATGTTAATGCTGCACACTTTCCACAGCATACTATGTTGTGAAATCACCACAGACAATCAAGCTTATAGCAGCTCACCTGACAGCTCATGCTGATGCTTTCGTTCTAGTGGTGCCAGAATCTGGACCTCTTCTGGTGCTCATTCCCAGTGTCCAGACTGCAAAAGCACATGTTGCCCTGAGTATGCCAATCCCATTGCCATTGCAGCAAGAATTGTAGCACACATGCATTGCATTTGAGTTTTTAGAGTTTGGTGCATGATAGCCACCAGCTCCAGGTGAAACAATCAATATTTTTCAATATGGATTTCAAGAATCAGTACTCTAGAACTAATTGTCAGGTAAAAGAAACTTGAAACTTAGTCAGTGAGCAGGAGGCTAGGCTAGAGAAAGCTATCGACTGTACTTTTAATGCACAAAAGGGGTCATTTATGCACAGTATCATAGACAGGGCTGTGACAATAGACAGGAAATGAATGTTTGTTAACACACTCTAAATGTTTCATTGCAGGACCACATTTCCACCTGGTGCCCCGCCAACTTGGTGAGGTCATCTCACATCACCATGTTCAGGAACTCCATCTGTCTCTTACCCAAGGCTTCTGGAGGCACCAGACATGGGGATACCCTGCCAGACAGGCAGGCACAGGAGCCCAGCTCTGGGTCTGGTTCCAGCCAGACACACCAGAGTGAGTGCCCAGCTAGCAGCAAGGTCGATACATTTGGTTTCAATTTTAACATCAGTTCACTGATATTGCACTTCACTGCACAAGTGTAGTAGTGTACTTTTTATCATGTTTTCAGTTCCAATGCATCCATCTATATCTATCTTATTTGGTTATCAAGCAGGGCTCTGCCTGGAGCAGCAGGTCTGTGCCAGTACCATTTATATCATTGTATTGGGTGGGTTTATAGGGTTTTGGTGTTGTGTCATACAGAAAGGCTCCTCTTTTTAGAGTCAAAAACAACACTGGTGGTTAAACTAGAGTAAGACTCAGGCTGAGTGACTTAATGTGTAGGGAAAGAACACCACTTAACCCTTATTCCCTTGATCCCAAAATGAAGCATGCCAGTCATCAGGTTACAATTTTGTGAGGTAACATAATAAGTATCATCACAAGGAAACTTACCATCACTGAAAAGGATGAAGATGTAACCAGCACTGGACCTGGTGTCTGTCTTTGTTTTTGTTGGTTGCTGGTGCTGCTGCTCTTGAAAAGGCCATCAGCCCCATCACAGCTGTCTTTGTGTATATTTTGTTTGGTTTTCAACTCATGTGGTGTATGGTACTGAGTCCATATCATGTGGCACTTGCTGAAAAGCAAGCTGCTAAGCCATGAATACACAATATTTTGTGAACCTAGAACAGCTCAAGATATGTTAAAGATATGGTATGAACCATAAGTGGGGTACCTATGCAGATCATAGGAAAAAGTGGTACTTTTTTGCAATCAATGACATAGTCAGAAATTGACCTTATAAGCTAGCACTGCATGTATACTCATGTTATTCTGGCCTTTATGAACTGTGTATGCACATATGTTGATGCGTTGTCGCCAGCGTCGACGAGGCCTGGCGGAGTCTGGTGAACGCCCTGTCGGGCCTGTTCTGTGCGTCGCTGAACTTCATGGACCAGACCGTCACTGCGTCGCCGTCGTTTGCGTACCGGCCTCAAGGTGCGGCCCGTTGCGCTTCGCTAGGGGTCTGAGTCGTGTGGGATTGGCTCATCACGACAGTTTTCGCGCGCAGCGTCGGTCTCACTGCGAATGTTTGTTTCTTCACGAAGTCATTTCTCTAGGAAACCACATATTTTTGTTGCGGCACATTCAATGGGATTTCCATCTCATTTCAAATCCCACATTTTCATTGAGACGTGCTGCCTTTCATTCAAAACGCCTATCATACTGGGTCCAGTTCCTGTGTGCTTCCCTCGGCGGTGCGTATCGGCCTACGGCGCCGGCTGACCCACGGGCCGGCCTCATGCCGCCGATCCGTGGCGCCGGTCGGACGCAGTGAGCGGGCCGCGTGGTGACCGGCGCACGGGCCGCCGCCAGGCGTGGTGTCGGACGCAGTGAGCGGGCCGGGTGGTGACCGGCGCACGGGCCGCCGCCAGGCGTGGTGTCGGACGCAGTGAGCGGGCCGCGTGGTGACCGGCACCCTGACCGCCGCCAGGCGTGGTGTCGGACGCAGTGAGCGGGCCGCGTGGTGACCGGCGCCCTGACCGCCGCCAGGCGTGGTGTCGGACGCCGCCCAGTCGGAGAGCCGGCTGCTGCGCACGGCCAGCCTGCCGCGCGAGGCCACCTGTACCGAGAACCTCACGCCCTGGCAGAAGCTGCTGCCGTGCGGCGCCAAGGTTGGGCCCGCGCGCGCGCCGCGCTCTCCACCGTCCGGCCAACGACGCGCCCAAGTCCACGGAAGGCTCGTCTTTACCTGGGCCGTCGCCAGAGTCCGAGAGCTGAGCCGATCTCGATGGGCTTGGGCTGAAGTGCTAGTTTCACTTTTGAGATATGTTCCTTCGTGGTTAGGGCTCAGTCCCGTGCACCAACGTAGGTGGGGTGGCACATGGCCTTTAACGTTCACTGAAGTCTGGCTGAGATTGCACAGCCCTTATCAGCACAATAGCTGTAGTTTTTGTAATTCTTGTTGTCGTTTGTAACTGGTTACAGCTTTGCTCCCCCTCCCACTGTGCAGCTGCTACTGGTGTTTTGTATTGCAGAACACTGTGTCTGGCTGTTCACAGGCTGGCCTGTCTATGCTGCTCAACCCAACCCACCTGTACAGCACCAGCTACCACTCCCTCAGCGTTGACTTCAGGCCCGTCTGCGCCGTAAGAGCACACCTCGGATCTCATTCTGTCCGTGGTGTAAAGTTCGTACTTGTCTGGATTGCAAACCAGCTGCACTATGCCAGGAAGTTGTACACTTAGCAGTCCTGCTGCTTGTGAGCACTAATGTAAAGATTTGTAGTAGTACGTCCGGTTCTCGCGTGCTGCTTCACAGGCCATCTTATTGTGATCTGGAACGCGGTGCCAGCGGGTAATGACGAGCTGTGCATGCAATAGGATCTGGCATCCTGTCGCCCTGTTGATGACCCCAACTTCAGCCTTGACCCGCCATCCTAACCTGAGACTGAACGCGAGGAACCCTGGTGTGTTGGTGTGACATGTGACCCAGAATATGAGGGTCTGGCATCCTGTCCATTGTCTTCTCTGTGTAACCTGCCAATACACCAACTGGCTCTTCCTGTCCCCTTTGTCCAGACTTCTGGACCACGATGGATCCTGTGCTTGCTTCCATACAGCATACTGTAGACCCAGTGTAACTCTTCCGGCCCCCTGGCGAGGGCTAGGTGGTTGCTCCTGCCTGGAGTACTGCATGGCCCTGACCTTTTGTAATGCCACCCTCCTGACCAGGGCCAGTGTGGTGCTCCCGCCCGGGGTACGACATGGCCCTGACCTCTTGTGACCCCGTCCCGACGAGGGCTGGAGCGGGGCTCCCGTTTGGGGTACGACATGGCCCTAACCTCTTGTGACCCTGTCCTGACGTGGGCTGGCGCGGGGCTCCCGTCTGGGGTACGACATGGCCCTGACCCCCTGTGACCCCGTCCCGACGAGGGCTGGCGCGGGGCTCCCGTCTGGTGTACGACATGGCCCTGACCCGTTATGACCCCGTTCTCCTGGGCAGGACGAGCGCTGCTCGCGGCTGGGGTATGAGATCGCGCAGTCGGTGACGCTGGTGTACGAGCCGGTGACGTTCGAGCGGCGTCAGGGCCCGCGCCAGAACTGGTCCACCAAGACGCTGTTCGGCGCTGGCTTGTTCAGCGCCTGCGCCTTGGCCCAGCACAGCCACGTGTTCGTCGACACGGCCGCCAACGAGGTGCGCTTGCGGTAGGGGCCCGGCTGCTGGCCTGAGGCCAGCTGGGCTGAGAGGGCTGCTGCTGCACGGGGTCGTGTAGATCGCCTTGATGAGCGCGCTGATCAGCTCTCTGGTTTACTGAGTGTCCTGCGGGGTATAACAGCTTGCTCATAACAACATGACGTACTTTGTCTAAATGCGAGCGTGGGGATATGAACTAGTGGAATATACATATGTTTACTCCAGAATAAGGTCAGAAGTCTGTCAAGACCTTAGGTGCGGTTTTGTTCTCTGCTTCGGTTTGGTTAAGACCTTGTTCAGTCCACTTAATTCATTGTGTTTATTTTTTACTGTTAGTTGACAGAAAAGAGCACTCAACATTATTTTGCACCCGGAGTCACGTAAGTACAATGCTCCCAGTGCTTGTCCTTTCCAGAGCCACTACTATATGACAAATAAAATCATGCCGCTGCCATTTCAGACGCACCCGTTCGTGCTGACGCCAGCCCCCGAGGGTGTGGTTCAGTCAACGGTGGCCGGGCATACGGCCTCGTTCGCCGTGTACGATGTGCGGAACCTGACGGCGGCCGGCGGTGTCAACCTGCGGGCCGACTATGCTCGAGAGCACCGCTACATCTGGACCCCGTCCCTGCCGCTGACCGTCACGGAATACCAGACAGGTGAGGGAGCACCGCCATATTTGGACCCCGTCCCTGCCACTGATAGTCATGGAGTACCAGGCAGGTGAGGGAGTACCGCCGCATCTGAACCCCATCCCCGCCACTGACCGTCATGGAGTACCAGGCAGGTGAGGTGGGAACGCAGAGTGCCTGGCGAGCGGGAGTGGGACGCCGAGGGAATAAAAGACATCTGGCTGCCTGGCCAACCAACGAAGGCACCAGTGTTTTGCCTTGTTCGCACTAGCAGCGCAAATCTATGCTGTCGCAGAATGTGGTATGCCCTGCTGTTCGGGATATTGTCGTGTATTAAACGTGCATAACTAGCTGCTTCTTGCTAATTGGTTCCCACACAGAGCACCCTAATGGCCCACATCACGTATATCTGGGTATGGTAGCATATGCCTCTCTCCCTGTGGGGGTCGCCGGGTGAAGTGCCCGCTCTGGTGACCTGCTGTGGGGCCGCCGGGGGAAGTGCCTCTCTCTGGTGACCTGCTGTGGTAGTCGGCGAGTGGCGCACCTGACCCCGCGCTCTCCGGCCGTGCGCGCAGGCTCTGGCCAGTTCTCCGTCGGGCTCAGTCTGCAGCTGCACAGCTCGCAGCGCACCCGGCCGTTGGAGGTGGCCGTGCTGCAGGTGGTGCCCTGGTACATCCGGCTCTACCTGCACACGCTCAAGGTCACCGTCGGCGATCAGGTCATCCAGCCAGGTCAGTCGGCGGTCAGGTCATCCAGCCGGGTCAGTCGGTGGTCAGGTCATCCAGACGGGTCAGTCGGCGGTCAGGTCATCCAGCCGGGTCAGTCGGTGGTCAGGTCATCCAGCCAGGTCAGTCGGCGGCCAGGTCATCCAGCCGGCTCAGTCGGCGGTCAGGCCATCCAGCCAGGTCAGTCGGGCTGAGGCCACCGGCCAAGTCACACGTCCGTGTTGTAACAGTGCCGGCCACCTGGGGCAGTGTACCAGCGGCTGGTGTTGTGTGCCCCGTCTTCCCTGCTCTGACCCCCCCCCCCCCCCCCCCCGCCGCCCCGGACAGTGTACCAGCGGTTGGTGCCGGGCCGGGACCGGCAGCGGCCGTACACGCTGGAGCTGGCGCTGCGCGTGCCGCCGCTCAGCGTGGCCACGGTCAGCGTGCAGGCGGAGCGGGCCTTCCTCAAGTGGCACGAGTATCCGCCCGACGCCAACCACGGCTTCTACCTGCCGGGCGCCGTGGTCAGCGCCCTGCTGCCAGCCGACAACGTCACCCGGCACCCGCATCGCAGGTGCGGCACCCTCATACACCCTGATAGACCCCCGGCGCTAGACGGCATCCCTGTGACCGATAGCTCCGTGCCTTGTCGTTGTGTCCCCACGGCACAGGCCTTCCTCAAGTGGCACCTCGTACTATGTGCCGGTGTATCTTCTGACTCCCATGTCATGTGACTTGTTAGCACATCTATGTGATCTCATGCTACGCGTTGAATCCGCATGACTTCGCGCCATGTGTGACTGTACGTCCGGACCCCCATGCAGTGGGTGACTGTATGTGTGACCATGTGACGTTTCTCTATGTATCCCCGGACCAGAGCTGTGTCAGTAGATCCCCCGTGACTCTGTGCCGCATGTCATTACGTCCCCTGACCTGACGCCGCGTGTCTCTATATCGCCTAATCCCGCGTACCGGTGTACCCCTGCCACGTATCAGTGTATTCCCATGGCCCCGTCGCCAACATGCCACCGTACCTCGTGACCTGGCGCCGCGCCGCCGTCAGCCCGCCGGTGGAGCAGGGTCGCATGTTCGTCCGACTGTCGGCCGAGAACCAGCTGGTTACGCTGCCCACGCCCGACTTCTCTATGCCGTACAACGTCATATGCCTGGTGTGCACGGTGGTGGCGCTCGCCTTCGGACCGCTACACAACATCTGCACCAAACGGTAGGCGGCCGACGGGTGCGGTGTCTCACGGGCGCCGCGGCGCGGGGAGGGGGGGGGGGGGGCTTCTCCTGCGCGGGCTGCGCGGGTATGCCGAGCATTGGCGCGTGGGTGGTGGTGTGGATAGAGCTCATCTGCAGAGCATGGGCGGAGGTGAGCTCGAAAGTTGTCCGCCGGAGTTTGACGTCAAGTCTGACGGGCTAACCCGCAGGCTCAGTAGTCATGATTATGGTGTGACCGAACAGCATTTTCAACTGTTGCTGGCATGTGTTTTACGCCGGTCGCTTTATGTGGCTTGGTTTAAAGCAATCCGCTCACGTGCAAATGGCGAAGAATACCGGTGACGGTCAGTACGTGCCGTTCCCCCAGGCTGCTTCTAGTGCCAATCAGCGATGAGAAGCCGGGCTACGTCACCCGACTCCGCGACGCCATTGGTCGGCTGCTGTCGCGTTGCCGGCCCGGCGGCCAATCGCCGTCGGCCACGGCTCATACCGCGCCGGCCAAGGCTACCAAGGCCGACTGAAGTCGGGCCCAGCCAGAGCGCCGCATCACCGGCCCTCTGCCGGTCATCAGCCAAAACACTGACGCCGCCGATCCGACGCCGGCGCCCGGAAGAGGCAAACCAAGCTGGGACGGGGCTCAGCCGCGCGCGTGATGCAGGCTGTGTCTGATGCGATCCCTGAGAGGGTGTGCTTGCTCCGAGGTCACTGGAGGCCCTGCAGGTCGCTGCGGGTCACTCTGCGGCGCCTTGGGAAGCCGGCGCGGTGGCCACCTCTCCACCATGATCTCAGATCTACGCACACCGGCCACGTCCTGCCAGCGTCGGGCCACGCTCTGCACGTGGTGTACTGCCGCTGATCCCGCTCCCCAGCTGACTGCCGGGGTAGGCCAACAGTGCCAGCAGCATTCAAACAATACTGGTTGGCTGACGATATTATCATGTCTGCCAACAGCATTATCAATGCAGTGTCTGCCAACAACGTTATCAGTATAACGTCTACCATTAATGCTATTATAATTTCTGCCAACATTGCTATCATTATGTCTGCCTGCAATGTGATCATTTAAATGTCTGCCAACTGTGTCAGCTAGAATCCAAAGTAGCCACCGCTGGCTCAGCGAAACTTTTTACTGGTGCAGTGTATAGCACTGCTCACACGCATTGCCTTGTGTTTCAAAGACCCTGTTGGAACAGTCGTACAGCAGGAGGGTGTCCTCCCACCCCCCACCCCCACCCCCCTCACCGCCACATTCCTGCGTTCATCGGGCTTAGGCACTCGCGAAACGAGTTCATAACGAGCTGGTAAGATGCCGTTCGTGCAGAGACTGGTGCTGATATGTCTGGTGGCGATCACACGGGACGTTGAAGAGACCGTAAGAAAGCGTAGGCGATCCGCCAGAGTTGACCTCTGTGAAACGCTAGTCTCGGGCGAGAGGAACCAAGCCGTAATGCATGCCCACGTATGTGATGATACTTGTCGAGTGAGACTTCACGCTCATTCACACCAGTTGATGAACTGTGCTCATGCATCGCTAAGCGGTGTCGCGTGCGAAATATACGATGAACAGTTGCAGGTGATTTAGCCCGACATGTCAGGTAAGTCGGTAAATGTGGCTGCCATCCATCCGCGATGTGGCGCTAAGTCAAGCCGTGTACCTACCCGGCTAGTCATCGTTGCACGGAACTGGGCATGTATCCCGTGGTCCGGACAGCTAGCGCTTCAGTGGGACTGTAAAACTGGCTTCGTGTTGGTGGCCGCCAGTGGCAACGGTGACATGAATGATTAATTTTAGTTGAGATCGGTCTCGGGCCAAGCTATCCCACTGCAGTCAGCTGTTTGCGCCCCGCGGTTGGAGTTACTCCTATGGTGTCTTACAAATAGGCTATGAGCCAATCAATCAGCATGTTGGCAACGTAAGAAAATACTGTCGGCGGCGTTTATTCGATGCGTTTGGTGTCGCGGCATGCTCAGCGCATATCTGCCCGTGAATCTTGTAACCGCACCTTTCTTTTTCTGTGGGTAGATGGCTCTGAGGTTTTAGACTGATTGCTGACACTATCGCCCCGAGAGAAGCGATCTTGCTGGCGTCCTTTGGCCCGGAGGTCATAGGCCAGGTCATGTCATCTATCTTCACGGCTTTCTAACTGCCCGGCGGTGTTTAAAACTTGCCGGTAAGAAAACTAAAACATCAATCGATACCCACCCGAGGCGAAGCGTGAAAACATGTTTAACCTTGAGCGATCGACCTACCAGCTGGCGACAAATTGTTATGTTAATTGCTTTCTGGCCTATTCATTGGAAGGAAACCGGACGAGACCCTGCATATGCATTCTTCCCAGCATGTCGACTTGCTCCAAGCACCTGGCGCTAATCAGATACATCGCCATCTTTGCAGGGACACGGTGCGGTACCGCACAGCATCAGTCTGCATTGCCGCAGTTAGCTGACGTAGGTCCGGTTGACAGATGTTTTCAAATGGGCAGGCGCTTCAGTACGAATCGTTTGTGTAAGAAGTTTGGTACAGGTACATTATGAGTCTTTTGGGTTACGAAATATATCCAGTGAAACGGTGGCGCGTGAAGGTAGCACCCACCTGCCACGGAATAATGCCAAACTTGACAGGCTACGGTGGATTTCCGTGCAAAGCACATTTATAACTGCTAGTGCAGCGCAGCCTTTCAAGATGTCGAGTGGCAAATGTGTCAGCCGTTCATTGCAGCAGTAATACATGAGCCGGCAATGTCATTGGCTACGTGACTGTGAGCGATCGACTGACATAATTGGCATGACTTATTGTCATACTGCTTATACGTCGACACGATGACCATGTGAGCCCAATGACTAGTTCTACTCGAGCAACCGAAAGGGAGATGGCAGTAATTATGCAAGCTAGTTGAATAAAACGAGGCCAAATTTGTCACGTTGCGGTCGCGTTGAACTGTAAAGCAGCAGAGCCTAGTGCGGTGTTCGAAAGTATGTGGCATTTGCAACTTGCGTGCGATACAATCCACTCCATGCAAATGACAATTGTCAAGGCGACTTCCCCATCATGTGACAATTTACCACAGGGCGAGAAAGGCTGCATTATTTGAAAGCAAGCCGTTCTTATGTTATTAACACAGAAACGCGCTCACCGAAAGTGATGACCGATGAAGATTTAGATGAAGGTTATGGCTGCCTGGATATATAGGAATCTTAGTTATATCCTCGGAAGGTGTGGTATGAGAGGACTCAGAGCAAAAACTGACACACCTGTCCCTCCTCTCTCCTGCCATACGTCCCATCAAGGGCCACAGCCTTCCCTGACCAATCCCTGCACCAGACTAATGACTCCTCCAGTTAAAGGTTGACTGCACCATTCATCGGAACTGCGCTTGCCAGACCACTTCCCAGCAATGCTCATCGTGGGGTGTTGAATGAGTGGCCTTGTAGCAGACGTGAGAGACACGGCCATCATCATCATTAAGGAAGTGCTACACATGGAACCAGGGACTTTGGGATCAGATGCGCTGATTATTACGTTGGACAATATATATATATATATATATATATATATATATATATATATATATATATATATATATAACGACAGTTGACAGTCGACTCATGAAGCATGTTCTGTAAGTTCGGCTGGCCTGACAATTTTTCTTTCTCATTGACAAAATCGTTGGCATTTTGGGGATCGACGGGTTTGGTAACTGTTGCCAAGGGATCAAGGAAGAAAACGCAAACAATTTGGGTGAGTGTTGGTCGCAGAATATTATACTGCACGTCTGTTTTGTTTTTCTGACTCTACTTCTCTTGTTTTAGAACACAGTGTGTGACATTCTAGACTGGTTTTGAGGAGGTAACATTGAACACCTTTCGATCGATGTATTGCAATGCGCAGCTTCCCAGTCGGCGTGTCATAAGGTGTTAAAGTCGCTCAAGCGTTTTCATTGGGCACATTCTCCCGGATCCCGACCGCGCCAAGGTCCCGGGCGCTAACATGGCCGATGTAGTCACTGGTGCTCCTTAAACGTAGCATTACACAGAAAGGAGCGTCGCGTTCCCTCAAAAAAAGGGGCGCGTTCCGCCACACCGTTTCATTTGTTCCATGTCTTTATCCGCTCTGGTTGTCGACATCTGACATCAGTGCTTAAAAAAACACAAAGAAACAATCGTTCGCACTCGTGAGCACGTGATCGCTGCACATTTCTGTCTACACTTCTGCCAACACATCTTGTCCTTCCTCTACCGTCAAATGGTGGTGATCTCGTGCCGCCATTACGTCTCGTAGTTAGCAAATCTTACGTTTCCCATGCAAAGCGATGTGAGAAAGCCGCATCATATTCACGGTACAATGTTGCGGGAAAAGCTGACCTAATTAAGTCATGTCTGCAAATGTCAAAAACCATAGGTACAGCAGGGCCCTAAGAATCTCACCTTCTTGTTCTTGAGAGCTGCGTGCTGCTGTAATCGGTGGTTACAAAAGTATGAACTTCTAGAAAGCTTTAAGATCGAACAGCACCACTTGAATGAGCGTAAAAATTGATCGCTGCCGAAGTAATGCTCCTTCGGCTGGCAAACGCACGCCTAAATATCATTAATTATCTAATGTAATACATGCTTAAACGTCGCTTCAGGTTTCATCTGCGCATCTCTGGTGTCTTCATATCATAGGCCCTGGTTTCCTGTCCTTAGGAGAGGCGTCACGAACTTTGAGTAGGGGGCGGGACAGAATTTCCACGGAGCCTCCTGGATAAAATAAAGCCTCCTCCCGAGTGTGTATGTGGGGGGGGGGGGGGGGCAGTGCAGCATTCCAGGGGTCTGCGGAGGAGGCACCTAAGGCACGCGCCCCCTACAAGTTGTGTATCATATATATCAAAATGAAAGTCAACGAATGTAAACAAAATCCCGAGCAGGGGCCGAACAGGGGTCTTTCCCAAGACAGGACTCCCTGTTCCATAAAAGGACATTCTGATGGATACAGGAGCGTCCTTATCCAGGGCAGTACCATTCCCATTCACAAAGGGCCTCCATGTCCGAAACCAGAACGGGGGCCTCCTAACTCATAATTGGTGACTCTCGTGCCAGCAAAGGGGTCTCATTCAAAATAGGGTCTCCTGATCCAGAAAACAAGCATCTTGCTGCAGAACAAGGTTTTTGAGCCCGATTGAGTACCCCCCCCCCCCCCCCCCAGCTCAATAATCTCTCGGCTCTTCTTGATCTGAATTGCGGTAGGATTTGTATGGCTGCAAAGCCTTCAGTCTGGGCGAAAGAAACTTCTCAAAACTTCTGGTCTGTATAGTACCTCGGCTCTCGTTCCTAATGTCGCAGGTTACTATGGTTTCTCATTCTTTCTTCCAGACTGCAGGTCGGTACAGGATCTCGCCTCCCCTTCCTGACGTCGCAGGTCGGTATGGTTTTTCGTTCTTTCTCCCAGACCACAGATCCGTACAGTACCCGCCTCCACGCCCCGACAACGCTGGTCGGTATGGTTTCCCGTCCTTCCTCCCAGACCACAGGTCGCCGACCATCAGGTGGCCGTAGACCACAGGCAGAAGGTCGCTCGGCCGGCCCTGCTTCTCACGGCCAGCTTTATCCCGTAATTTTACGGAAGGTTGCATTCCCAAATTATCCTCCAACGACGGGGAAAGAGCCTTGTGTGGAAACGAGCGGCGCGCCGTGGGTAAATGGGGACCGACCCCGGTTCGTCGAGATTTGATTTGTCTTAATTAGGTCGATAATAAGTGGCCGTGTAACCTCGGTCCCATAATCGCAGCCATGTCAAATTAAGCGCGTCCCCCGCCCGCGCCCCGTGCCTGTCAGGAGTGCAGCGGGTGCGTCCGAAGGTCGCAATCTGGTCAGGGGCCGGCCCGGGGCCTGGGAAATGATCCATAGTCTGTGGTCGATCTGCCCCTTCACATATCGAACTGAGGAAATCGAGGACGTCATCAAGCCATATGTCACGTCGTGAAGTCATTGTAGAAAGTACACTCATGCTGCTGGGCTGTGCTTCTGCAGTCGGCGGCCGAGTCTGCGCTCAGGTGGCAGTTGAGCGCGCGAGGTCCGCATGAATGATAGCTAGGGGCTGGGGCCAGGCGGCCTCAGCGCTCATTTTGTCCTTAATGCCCGTATATGTCAAGATGTTCTCACAGTTACCCGTGTTGTAACATACGGCGATGCTTATACCAGCAGCCGGACCATGACGATGGCATTATTGATCATCGGCTTATTATTTTTAGCGGGCCCGAGACACAACCGCGTAGCGCATAATCCGAACTGTGCATTAAACCTAACAAGTGCATGGAGTTTGGTATTGGAATGGATTTTTACCGAGCTATGTCATCCTTACAGTGGTATAATCTGCTCGCGCTGCGCCAGGCCGCAGACGCACATTTCGTCACCACAAGCAATGCGGCGACACCAACCAGTCTTGAGCAACAAGCGAATATCACGCGGCAGCCGAGCTATGGCTCCGGTACGCTCCGAACGCCGCCAGAGGACGGCTCGACCCGAACGCCAGGCTCACCAAGCCCTGGCGTCATCTTTAAAGTCGGCGTCGCAGGCGTTCCCAGTCCGGGCTC